AAGAAGCACGAGGCCTTTGAATCGGATCTTGCGGCACATCAAGATCGTGTAGAACAAATTGCTGCAATTGCTCAAGAATTGAAGTAATAATCTATATATACTATATCTCTTTCTCTTTCTCTCTCTCTCTCTCTCTCTCTCTCTCTCTCTCTCTATCTACAATTTATATTAAATTCACAAGTTATTCTTATATTTATATTATGAATATTTTCACAGTACATTGGAATATCATGATAGTGCGTCTGTAAATGCTAGATGTCAACGAATTTGTGATCAGTGGGATCGTTTGGGTACACTTACTCAACGTAGACGTCAAGCACTTGATGAAGCAGAACGTATATTAGAGAAAATTGATGTGTTGCATCTGGAATTCGCAAAACGAGCTGCAGTAAATAAATTTTATATTTAATTATCAGATTAAATTTATGATTTTATATCTAATCTAATTTGTATGCTATATAGCCGTTCAACAATTGGTTGGATGGAACTAGAGAAGATCTTGTGGACATGTTTATTGTACATACAATGGAAGAAATTCAAGGTTTGATGGATGCACATGCTGCATTTAAAGCAACTCTAGGTGAAGCTGATAAGGAATACAATGCAATTGTGGGATTAGTACGTGAAGTTGAATCAATAGTTAAGCAGTTCCAGATTCCAGGTGGTCTTGAAAATCCGTATACAACTCTTACCGCTTTGGTAAGCAACTATAATTGTAGACGCTGAATGTATGATACTTGACATACTAATCGGCATTTTAATTGTGATAGGATCTAACTAAAAAATGGAGTGATGTCAGGCAACTGGTACCACAACGTGATGGTACATTACAAGCTGAACTTCGCAAGCAGCAAAGTATCCTTATATCTTTAAGTCTTATTTTTTCCTCATGTTTCTTTTTTTCTTTTTTTTTTTTTTTTTTTTTTTTCTTTTTTTTTCATGTCGAATATTTAGATATCATGATATTAATATTAATGCGATAAATACATACAAAACTATCTATGCAAGTACTTAACAAATTTTAAAAAGATAATGAATTGCTTCGACGACAATTCGCTGAAAAAGCAAATGCCGTTGGACCATGGATAGAACGACAATTGGATGCTGTTACTGCTATTGGCTTGGGACTTCAAGTAAATATTTTCAATATTAAAATATCTTGGAATTATAGGAATATTATATCGAAAATAATAATATTTACAGGGTACGCTAGAAGATCAATTGCATCGTTTGAAAGAGTACGAACAAGCTGTTTATCAATATAAGGCACATCTTGAGGAATTAGAGAAAATTCATCAAGCGGTCCAAGAAGGCATGATCTTTGAAAATCGTTACACACAATATACGATGGAAACATTAAGAGTTGGTTGGGAACAACTTCTAACATCTATTAATCGTAATATTAATGAAGTTGAGAATCAGATTCTTACAAGAGACTCCAAGGTAATAAATTCAAATTACAAAAATGAACTATAATAAGAATACTGCATAATATTAAATCATATGGTGTATATATATATATTTATGTATACATATATATCTTTAATTTCTTTTATACAGGGCATTACTCAAGAACAACTTAATGAATTCCGTAGCAGTTTCAATCACTTTGACAAAAATAGAACAGGTAGATTGGCTCCAGATGAATTCAAATCGTGTCTCGTTTCTTTGGGCTATTCTATTGGAAAAGATAGGCAGGGTGATATTGACTTCCAACGAATATTGGCGATCGTTGATCCTAATAATTCAGGTTACGTGCACTTTGATGCATTCTTAGACTTTATGACGCGCGAATCTACAGACACTGATACTGCTGAACAAGTGATCGATAGTTTCCGCATTCTTGCCGGTGATAAGGTAAAATAATAGATAAGATAAGATAAGATAAGATAAATGATAATTGTTTATAAAGATTTGTAATTTAAGCTTTATACAATCTGTATTATTAATTTTCTTTACAGCCATATATTCTACCCGATGAATTGAGGAGAGAATTACCTCCCGATCAAGCTGAATATTGCATTCAACGAATGCCACCATACAAAGGTCCGAATGCAATTCCTGGAGCTTTAGATTACCGCTCATTTTCTACTGCATTGTACGGTGAATCAGACCTCTAATTTAATATTACAATGTATCGGACAAATTACAAATTGTTCCCATCTTGAAAGGCAAAAATTAAGTGAAATCAAAAAATATTAATTTTACCTTTTTGCTATTTTGGTGTGTACATTCATAATTTATTAAAAATTATGGAATCACCCAATTTTCAAAAAGGACAATAAAGGACAAGGATTGTTAGTTAGTATGGGAATACTATTAATAACATGTACGTGTAAAAAAAAGGGCAATCTTTTATCAACTTGGTGTTCTGAAATAATCGGGAATAGACCAATAAGTTCTACACGTCATGAGTATTAGCATTAAAAGATTGGTGGTGTCTTTTTAATGTAAAGGATTAAAAAGAAAGAAAAAAAAAAAACAAAAAAGAAAAAAGAAAAAAAAAAAAACAAAAAAAAAATTCAAATACAGATGAAAATATTTATTTATTCCATATTCTCGGGCTAATTACCCTTGTTATCTTTTATGAATTACACATATCCGTTGATTGTTAAGAACGGCTTGTACTTAAATAAGACTATACTGAAGGGACAATAATACTTATTTCTCTGATATCTTTACATTAAAAAGATAACACGTTAAAAAAAAAAAAGCATCAATATAACGACTCTTCTAGAACACTTGTCAAGCGCCTATCCTGCATCATTTTAGGTATACAATTTTCCTTATGCCCGCAAACATGAATGATCATAAACGATATTTTCTTGCAAGCGTTCTAGAGGGAGAAAATAAACGAAGCTGTGCTTGAAAACGACTATTAATATAAAAAAAAAAAGAAAAAAACGAATTTTATATTACGAATAATTCATATCTCTTATTGCGAGAGCATATATATATATATATATATATATATATATATATATATATATGTATATATATATATATGGCTAATATTACTCCAACTATTTAAGAAATAGTAATGTTTACACGTTTATATCATTATGAAGATCAGATTCACAATGAATAAAATAAAAATTCAAATCATATGGTGTATTTAAATCCTGTTAATTTAATGGATGTTTATATATACATAATATTATATTGTATTAAATTGCATGATATAATTTGTTTTTTTTTTTATCGAAACATCTAGTATTATTATATAGTTGGAGTAATTTCCTATCCTTCCTAAAGCTTTGAGTCAATGCTCTCGCGATGGGCCAAATTCATCTAACGCTAAGATTATAAACGATCTAACGAATTTTACGAACTTTAAAGGTGAATGAATCGACTTTCTTATTAAGGATCCAAAAAACTCGCTCGAAATCGAATAATGTTCATATTTTTTTATAAAAAGCGATACACAACGAACTATTAGCGAAAACGCCACATTATAATACTTTATAAATCGTATATAAACAAAAAAAGGAAAAAAAAAAAAAAAAAAAAAAAAAAGAAAAAAAAAGAAGTACGCGAAACAATGTTAAACAAATGCAAATTATTTATTTATTTGATTTAATTATTTATTATCGTTCTCCGATTAATTAATTACGCTAGCAAATGTGAGAAACACTCTCTTTTTTTTTTTTTTTTGTCAAAGTATTTATTTTTATAAATATCTGTGAAGCGATGAGGCCACTGTGTATAATATATAGGATCTATTATCTAAAATCTTTTCTCTCCAAACAGCAGCTGCCATTTCTCGTGTCATGTTTTTAAACCACATTTTACACACGCTCGCAGTGTTATCCATTATTATAGTCAAAGTCACCGTCGTTCAAATCATCCTATGTACAAGCTCATGTGTGAAATGCATTAATACTTACCGAGAGACGTATACTGTAAGTTTTATTTTCTGCTTGAGATTTAATGCTTTTCAATATTTGTCTTAATGTGTTTTGAGAGTTTCAATATATAATTTCTTATTTCTCAAAGAAAGTTTTTCCAAAATTTTGGATTTATCGAGTGACGAATGTTAAAAAAACAAAATATTTCAGAAAACAGAGACCACACTTCTATAGTATATATACAAACACAATACGCATATTCACATAAACACGTACACTCGAATATACGTAATACCAAAAAAAAAAAAAAAAAAAAAAAAAAAAAAAAAAAAAAAAAAAAAAAAGAAAAAAAATTAAAAAAAATTAAAAAGTAAATTAAAAACAAAAAAAGAATAAAAGAAATGTTATTTCGGCGTATATATATATATATATAAATGGAAATATATAATATATAATATATATATATACATACAATATTTGTATATGCAAACTTTTATTGCATTGCGTGCATTGAGTGTACATATTCTGAATGAAAATGATTTTTTTTTTTTTTTTTTTTTTTTTTTTTTTAGATTACATATAGTGTCATACTACACACATGTACACAATTTTTATTTAAACTTCGTATATATATATATATGTATATATATATACATCTATAATTAATAATATCTCTCCTAATAATTTTATTGTATTTAAAATATTATTTTAATTTATATAATTTAAATGAATCCGTCAAAGAATCGTCTCGTGTCGTATTATAAATTTACTCTATTTTTTGTTTTGCCGATTTCATCCTTTTAAATTGATTTAACAACGAGTCATATGAAAGAAAAAAAAATAAATAAATAACAATTATATCGGGGGTAAGAAAATAAAGAAAATCTTGGAAAAAAAATCAAGATCTATGCGTTTTGTTGTGTATGTATATTTTGTAATTTTAACTTTGCATAATTTATATTATGCGACGAACAATACGTGATATATAATATATATATATTTTTTCTTTTTTTTATTACGATTATAATACACATCTAATACACATAAGTATTCACGGATGCAATTAACCTGACTGTCTGCTTCGAGTATTACGAAGTCCCATGCATATTTAAAAATTATTATTATTATTATTGTATTTCTTTCTTTTTTTTCTTTTTTTTTTTTTTTATACAGAAATAGAAGACTTACTTGGCTAACAGCTGCACAATGCTACATACACATATAAGTTATTTCATCGTTACACACGACGTCATACTAAAAATCTTTTATATCCCACGCTATTTACACTAAAATATTATAATATTTACAAAAGAGCGAGAGATTCTATAACTGTAATATCACCATTCTTCGTCGTCACTTATGTAACTATGGCTACGTAGGATAACGCACGATATATCTATTATAAAAATGATTCGTTCCGTATGTGTGTGTGTGTGTGTATGTGTATGTATGTGTATGTTTTGTGTGTATGCGTGTATTGTGTGTGATAGACGATTTTGAGACGAAAAAAAAAAAAAAAAGAAAAACATTCTTTTACAATTTGAAAATTGCCGCGCGCTCTCTCGAGAAAACGGCTCTGACGTATAGACGGAAAAGTATTCCGTTTATTGTTAGTCCCGCGAGTACGGTCGTTTGAAATAGTATCGCTCTTTTATTCTTTACAACCGAGTCCGGCGGACCAATTACAAATACCACCGACCGGATCGAAGGATAATTTGTCAGGACACGTGTATTCCGCTCCGATTATCAAACCATTCACCATTTTTGCGCAGGTAATGAATTTCTTGCAAGAAGAAGGATGCGGAAAGTTGCCTTGATCGAGACATCGTATGGTACCATTACTCGTGAGAAATAGTTTCCCATTGTACATTGCTTTTTCAACGATCGGTGTATCCTCGTCCTCGTAGTAATCATAATCTATTATAGGTGGCCTCCTTGGCCTATTCGTTGAATTTCGTGATGTTCCATCCTTCCTTGTCCTTGTTGTCGTCCTTGATGTTGTCGTCTTCGTCGTCACTTTTTGTCGTGTCTTCGGGATTGTGCTGAATCTCAAGGACGTCGGACTAGTTCTCGGCGAATCTGTTCGCGGCGCTACCGTCGTGCTTATCCTGCGTCTTAAGGTATCCTTTAACGGCAGTCGACCTGATCGTGTAACCTGATTAATTAGTACTAATTGTTCGGAATAAAGGCAAAGGAAGAAGCGTTTGTCCGATGATGATGATGATATCCCATGAGACTAAATTTATGTGGAAGAGCGGACAAGATAAATTCATTTTGATGCGTTCTAAGTAGATTAGTGCGCATTAAATATTCCATGTAACAAAGTATGAAGACATAAAAAGTAAACTGCACAAAGTAATGTGACTATGTCGTTAAAATGATAGTTAAGATGCGGTTTAAAAGATGAATTAACTTTTTTGTGTTACCAATTTTTTTGGTGTAAAGCGAAACACATTGGCGATTGGATATCTTCAATTAGTTTCGTAAGATATCGTAAAGAGAAGAGACCATTCTATGGACCAATAAAGAATATAATGCTAGAGAGATAAAAATGATATTAATTAAAGAAAGAAAGAAAGAAAAAAAAAAGGATATGTTGTAACACCGTGATAGTTTAGATATTAGACACACATTACGGAAAGAATCACATTTAAGTCTCATCATCGAAAAAGAAGAAGAAGAAAAAGAAGAAGAAGAAGAAGAAGAAGGTGATGCAACGTTGGATTTGCAATATTCGATCCTTAAATTCGAGCAAATAAAATAATTTTATCTTCGATGAAGATAATCAAATCCTTCTGAAGTAATTTCGAAGGATTCTAAATCTTAGCATGTTGTTAAAATACATAAATCGTTGCGGTGAGACGATAAGAAATTACTGAGGAAGAAAATAAAAGCGAATGTGAATCACGTATAACATAAAGAGATATCGTATGCCATTAGAAAGGAGGAATAATAGCGTTATCCCAGATGATCTTTTGAGATAAAAGTAAAAAAAAAAAAAAAAAAAAAAAGAAAAGAATAAAAGAAAAGTAAAAGAAAACAAAAAAGAAACAGATAAAGCTCGAATGCCTCCTCGTCCCTCTTATATTAAATAAATTAAAAATTCAGGACGTGAACTGTCCGATAAGTGTAGAGTACCGGTGCTGGATGAAGACTGTGACGTAGGCGGTTCTGCCAGAGTGACGGCGAGCTCTTGAGCTCTGCCATTTTGATCGCTTATCTCTGCCCTTTCATCTTCGTCCTTAATGGACAACAGTTCCGGCTTCACGGTTGGATCATCGAACGCGTCTGAAACAATTATCTTGCGTCCTTACGTTGAAATTTGTCTATTTGCCGATCGAAGTTCCAATCGTGAAATTTCGATCGAATCTAATTGTTAGGCATATGCCATGGAATCTAATCATCACTATTATTGATTTTTTTCTTGTTTGTTTGTTTATTTGTTTGCTTTTTCTTTCTAACGCACCGACTATCGTTGTCGTCGGTGACAAGGTGGTCTCATCACTAGGTCGACTCTTTCGATTGTCCCCTAGTAGTACCGTGCCCGGATGTTTGCTCGTTGATAAGAAACTTGACTGCGAGGACGTGTTTGGTTTTCTTATTCTGTTTGCCAGAATAGTTCCTGGCGTCCGGCTAGAAGATGATCCCGTGCTCTTCGAAATAGTTCCCTGTTCAACGGGCAATTTATTTTATACATAAAATAAACATGAAGAAACTTATTCGCTTTATACACGAATATAATTGAAACAAAGCTAGAATAAGATCGTATTGATGAGACATGGATATGTTAATATACATCAGGTATATGTGTATATGTGTGTGTTTCGTCGTCGTTTCCGAATGGTATAAAAAAGCCATACGATGTGAACAAAAAAGAGATGATAAGATAGATAGATAGATAAATAGACAGACAGACAGACAGACAGACAGATAGATAGACTAACATACAGATTAGAATTACTAGAGAACATTTGTAGAAGCGACGAAGGATATCTCAAGTTGCACGCTCCATTCTCCATTTGTGTTAAGATACAATTAATAATCGTCATATGTCCTTTGGCCAAGCATTATAATTACGGACAGACATCATAGGATAACGAAAAAAGCTTAGGTGCCGGTGCGTCAAACGTGCGGCGCACCATTTGAAAATACAGAGAACATTTGTGTTAATTGATGCTAGGAAGAACCAGAACAAATGAACCAGAACAGAGAAGATAAGAGGACAATGTTGCCGGCAAGTTCCCATCTTTATCACAGCCGTATTTTCTCTTTCTCTCTCTCTCTCTCTCACGCTCTTTCCCTCTCTCCCTTTCGACAATATTCATATTTCGTTGCGTATCTGCAGTGAAAGGATCGTTCCCCTTGGTTTTGATCTTTTTTTTTTGCGATTTTAATTTTTTTTTTTTGGTTTAGTTAGGCGCATGAGCAGAGGCAGCAATAAGAAGTATCGTCCCCTTCCGTGGAGCTAAGACTTTACTACTTTAGCGTTATTTTAGCGCAGAATTCGTTTTAGCGTTGTATATGTTCCCCTTTTGGTACAATGCAAAGATGATGATGATGATTATAGCTTCGCAAAAAAGTTTCGAGTCAGGTTGTTTTTTTTTCGTTTTTGATTTCAAACAATATAGCAGGGCTTTTCTAAATTGACACTGACCTCGTCCACGGGTCTTTCAGTATACTCCGTGACCAGAGGAGAATCCTGAAAGATATTTGTCTTTTCCAATGGTACACTATCTTCTTCCACGTATTCCTTTCGATTGATTTTCAGCCTCTTGATAACCAATTTTGATCTTCTAGTTTTGTTCTTGGTCACTTCAGTTTTAACCTCGTCGTTGGAGACCGTATTGTTTGCCACTGTGGTGTTGTTGGGTCTACGTTGCCTCTTTCGGTATACCAGCACACGTTTAGGACTGTTCAAATCTTCTCGAATCGATGGTTGATCTCCGATTTCGTATTGTTGCGTCACTCGGCGTTCTAAATTCGGTCTTCTTCTTTGACCAAATTGGTTATTAAGAGCGAATATTGTAGGTCTTCGTCGTCGAGGATGAATGTTCTCTTCTTGCCTACTCTGAATAGTTAAAGGAATTTGTGAAGGTAGTAGGTTTGATAAGGTCGTGAAAGGAACTTCTGTACTCTCGGATAAGGTCGTTACTTTTTGGAAATTTGGATTGGATTTATAAACGTTTTTATCATCGACAGTAGTATCTCTAAGTTCTTCTCGAGTTGTCACTGTATCGAAGTCATTTAAGATAGCATTTTTATTTTCTGCAATCATCGTGGTTGTTTCGATGTTAGTCATTTTTATTCCATCTCTTTCCCTGTCCGCTGTGATCCCTTCTAAAGTTCTTTTGAAGTTTGCTGTTGTTAAACTGGATTTTATAGTTGTCGTTTCTTGTTCTAAAGTATGATCAGTGCTTACAAACTCGTTAGTCTTACCGGAAACGATATAGTGGATATTACTTTGATCGTTTGTTACTTTCGCCGACGGTATATTCGATATAGTTGTTGAGAAATTTTCAAGTTGAATTATATCTTTCTTTAGACTTCCATCATTTGGAAGTTTAGATGTATCCGTATCTAAAGTGCTTATCGTTGATCGCATCGTAATGTCAAATTCTGTATTAACAGAATCGATTGGTAAGGTGTAATTAATTGATGTTGTATTTGTCTCAGAATTTTTATTAATTTCAGTAGTTTTCAAAATATTGGAAACTGTTGTCTCTGTTATCAAACTCGTCTGAGGTCTATATAATGAAGTAGTAACGTCACTATATTTAACTCTTTCTCTCTTCGATGTATCAGATGAAATATTATTAACAACGAACAGAATCTGATCGTTTTGTTTTAATTCCTGAGTGATATTTTCTGTCATTGTTAACGGTGTTGTTTGTTCAAATTTGGTAATAATATTCGAATACTCTGAATATTCTTTATCCGTATCAGCAAATGTTGTCATATCTGTAGTCTCATTATCTTTAGATAAATCAGTCATAGAGATATTTTCTGCGTCAATTACCTCAGTCGATACAATCGTCTCATTATATGTTATATTTGAATCAATATTATCCATTGAAATTTCCGTTATTGGATGCATTGTCGTAGTCATTTCGATATCACCTTTAGTCACATAAAAGCCTCGAGGTATCGTTTTCGAAGTTGAACTTATGATAGGAGTACCACGCATTGTAGTAGGTTTTAAAGTAGTCGTTGAGGAACCAGCATGATCTATTCTAGTTTTTCTTTTTTTGCTTGTCGAAGATTTATTATCTATATCATTGTTCTCCGTATCATGTTCCTCAAAAATGTTAGCGAGTTTGTGATTAAGGTAACTCTCGTTAGTTTTATCAATAGTTTCGTTAATATCTTCATTTAGATATTTTGTCTTGATTGTTTCCATATTGGATTTAATTTGATCATTTTCGATGCTTTGCAGATCATATACTTCATTACTATCGATAGTATGAAGTAAATTTAAGAATACCGAAGATGGTGTTGTATAATCGTATGTTTGATAACCAATGAGCTCCTTTAAGGTTGGTAGCCTTGGTGTATCCGAGTTGGCAACCTGAAAATCAGAAGGCAGCGTGCTTTAAAATGATTATCCTTGCCAAGCTCCTTCTCCTTCTCTCTCTTTCTCTCTTTCTTTCTCTCTCTCTCTCTCCCTTTCTCTCTAAAAAGTCCTTGGTATTTCTGATTTATTTTATTTTATTATTTTTTTTTTTACTTCTTTAATTTATCATCAATTCAGAAGGAGAAGAGAAAGAAGACGAAGAAAGGAGTGGTTCTTGATATTTGCTTGTTACATCATGAGGATATTTCGTTTGCTGTACGATAAATGTGTGATGATGAATCGTCACTATTATTCAATCGTTAATGCTAGGACATTCGTGAGAATGATCAATCCCTAGATTTTTGATCATTTGAATAATCCTGGGAATCCGTCTAATGTTCCCTGTTGCATTTTATGGGATGTATATGAATTTTTGCAATGATGCGTTTCTCTTTTTTTTGCTATTTTTTGTTTTGTTTTGTTTTACATATAATTATCATGATTAATGTCGACTATAGTGCTTAGTTATATGTTGCTTCGATGAGAGAATAGATATTATTGAATACTGTAACTTCAGTCTGCATTGTTTACGAAGAATGAATGATAAATTGAAAATTGGTTTTGTTCATTGATTTTTTTCGTTTTTTTTTTTTTTTAATCTAATTATTATTTAATCGTATCTTCGTTAATTTCTTCGAGGTTAATTATTAATAACAATGAATTGGTTAATGTTCCTTAGTTCCAGCGATTAGATTGCTGAAAACCGATTCAATCGGAATGGTAGATGATTCGTGAGATTCAGTGGTGAATCGTCCGTTGTTACGATAAACGAATTCACTCTCTATTGGAAGAGTCGATGCTTCAATCGCAGGACGAATCTCGTTGATGGACTCATCGAGAGTCGTCGCTGCTTGATTGTTGTTCGTAGAATCAATGAATTTTTTTAACGAGGGTGTCGTCGAAGGGTAATCATTTCGTGTGATCACATTTTGTACAGGTATTCTCGTCGTCGATGTCAACGACGAGTATTTTGTTTTGATTAGAATCTTTTGTCTTTCAGTAGTGCCAGATTCTGCGATCGAAGTGACCAATCTGGTGACCAATGGTTTATTAGACGGCGTTGTCGTTCGATCAGAATCAACGAGATTCTGTAACTCAGAATTCTCTTCGTTTTGATATCCAGTGGTATCAACTTCTTGTTGTTGCGGAGTTGTCGTTCGTAAAGATTGTTGTTTCCTATGAAAAGCATCGGCTGCATAATCGAATTTTTTTGCAGGTATAAGCGTTTCCGTGACAGGAATTTCTATTGGCGTTATCGGACGTTTGGTTTGATAACGTGATCTTAAGGTCGATGGTGAAAATTCAAAGTATGAAGATGTAGTATCCCTTTCTTTATTCTCCCTTTCCTTTTGAAGTTTCTCCTCATAATTTCGATAGCGTGCTCTTGCTTGACGATAACCACTAAATCTTAATTTGGCGGCTTCCTTAGTATTCGGATTTTCTTCTGTTTCTTCTGGCGAAGAATCGTCGATTGGGTACCATCGTTTTGTTGATAACGCTCTTTCATTATTCTGTATCTTTTCCTCTTGAACATTGTCTAAGTTTTTAATTGAACTTGGAACTTTGTATGAACGTCGTGATTCCAGTCTACGATTAATAGTTACATATCGAGGCTTATTTATATTACCAGCAATTCGACTGTCATCTTTCTCTGATTCTTCATGTTCTCTTATAAAAGTTGGATAAGTCGTAAAAGAAGGTTCGGTTGTTAAATATGTGTTTTTATATCGATTTGTTGGAGGTGAAGATCTTTGATTCACCGTTCTTTCAGCAGGTGTCGTATAATGATTCCAAAATTCTAAAGATTCATTCTCGACAGACGCACTAGTTATGATAGCTGTTGCAGTAGTATCTTGAACATCATCAGAATTTATAAAATCCTCTTGTTCGCCTTCGTCTTCCGTTTCATTTGGATTTTCGATGTCGAGATCCAATTCTTCCGTTGTTTTCGTTGTCGATGAAACTGGTCGACGACGAATGAACAGACTCTTTCTACGTTTCGTAAGTTGATTCACGTCAACGTCATTCTTTTCTGTCGTAGAAGACACACGATTCTGTGGCCTTGAGATTAAAGCATATCTACTGTTTGTTGTTTCAGATAATAATACTGGACGTTTGCGAATGAATTTTTTTCGCACGTATCTCGTTTCAGAGGGGGAAGATTTGCTGTGGATTTGGGACTCATCGATGTGTCGAGTGAAGGCGTGATGTGAAGGCGTGATTGTTTGAATACTGGTAGTAACATTTTCGGTAGATAAACGAGTTTCTTCTGGATCGAATGTATTCTCTGTGTAAGTAGTTGGTGGTGTTATCGTTGGTTCCGTAGTAATTACAGTCGAATAAAGATCTTCGTTTTCAGAAAGTGTAGACTCGGTTATTAACGATGTCAAAGCTTCTGTAATTGCTCCATCGATTATAATTGTCTGCATTGTTGTTAGATCTGAAACAAAACTATCGTCTTTTGTACTTTCTGTTGTCATTGTTGACGTTTCTAGATTACTGTCTGTTGAATGATTGTTCAGAGTATAATCAATTACGTTTGGAAACTCGGTAGCAAACGTTGAAATATTTTCAGTTACATTATCTGATTCTTGTAATTTTTCTAATTTTAATTCTGTTGGTACGTGATCACTCGTATTGTCTGATTTGGAGATTGTCATCTCGGAGGACGTTGTCGAACCCAACGTACTTTGTTCTTCTTCTTGAGAAGAAGAACTCTCGAAGGAGGCTGTCGAAGATTTCCCCTCTATTAATCGTACACGTTTCAATACTTTTCGTCTACGATTTACTTGATATTTGTTGTTTTCTTCAATTTGTATCGTCGTCGAAGTGTTAATGCTAGCTGTTACAGGCCTTCTTCTAAGAATAACCTTTTTTCTTCTTTGATTCGTAAGTTTTCTTTCCGTTGAATCGACCGTATCAATATTAGTTTCGCTTTGTATAATTTCTGTGTTTTTGTAAAACGGAGAAATCGATTCCATGGGAATATTTTCAGTAGTAGAAATCTCTTCTGGATTCTCACTAGTCTCGTAAGAAACATTACTGTCTGTAGAGACAGTATTACTATCTGTTGTGGATTCCGTAATGTAAGTGGATGCAATAGTATCGGATTCTTCTGATCCTGTTTGAACACTTGTGTTAGTTTCATCGATCTCTGTTACAGTAGGCGTCGATAACTCGTCCAAATCATTGTCTATGATATTGGTTGTATCGTTGTCTGTAATTTGTACAGTGCTTAATGAACTTTCTGTAGTACTTTCTTCGATTTCTTTTGTAGTTGTCGTTGTTGCTATTGTCGTTGTTGCTATTGTCGTTGTTGTTGTTGTTGTTGCTGCAGAAACGTTGAAAGAAATAGAAATTTCTTCATTATTTTCCGGTGATTCGCTAGTCCTTTGATTTATATCTTCGATATCAACGTAATTCCTTTTGCTAGTAGTCCTCGTTCTTCCGTATAACTCTTTATTTATATTCGGTGATTGCTTGAAAACTCTGATGTTTGTAATTTTCTCATTATTATCCTTTTCTAAATTGATTTCCGATTTTGATCTAAACTTTTTGCTCCTGCTTGTATATCCTTGTGTAATTCTAACGATCGGACTGTCTTCAAGTTCGTTTGATTTTGTAGTTTCTGTAGTTGATTGTATGGAAGGTCGGCGATACCTTCTTCTTGGGCCAGAACTCTCAGTGATGGTTTTGGTGGTAGTACTTGGGGACTCTGTTGTACGACTTCGTCTTCGGGATATAGTGTTCTTAGATATGTCTTCGTTTATAGGACTATTCGTAGATGAAATGTATCTATTGATTCCTCTACGTTTATTACTAGGTCTTGACTTATTGACCGTAGTTTCTCTCGGTTTGATGAACGTTTCCTCGGACGTCGGTGGATTTTCGAGTTGGTCTTGCTCGGTAATCCGTTTATTGACGGAAAGACGAGTGGTCGTATCCGTTCTTGATCTTAATCGACCTCTTCCTACCAGAAACGAGCTCGATCGCGTTGAATTTCGCGACGTTATACTCACCTTGGACCTAGAATGATCGCTCGATGGCGCTAATGGCGTCGTTGTTACGTCAGGTGTCAGACTACCGGATCTTCTCCGAGTAAATCCAAATGGTCGTGGCTGCGAAACCGTAGCTACTATCCTGGCTGTAGTCAATAATGATGTGCTGGCTGGACTTGGACTCGCTGGTGCTGTCGTGAAAAGGATTTCCGTAGCTGATTCTTCGACGAGTTTCACAGGAGAATCCGTAGTCGTTGACGACAACAAATTATTGTTGTCATTAAGAACGTTCGCTATCGATGTGTCTTCGACACGATCTAACTTGATGGTAGTAGCTTCATTACTTGTACTCCTACTCGTTGATGATGATAAATAAATGGGTGTCACGGATACGGAGGACAAGGTAGACTGTATCGAGGTTGATGGCGTTGTTGATGATATCGTGGGAAATGTTGGAGGAGTCGTAGAAGTCGTCGTAACTTCTTCCTCTCTATCGATTTTATTTTTAATAGTGGATGTCTCTGTCGTTATTTCATCGACTTCAGAAATATCGCTGTCACTGACAGAAATTTTCTGAGTTGTGCTTCGGAAACGTTGTATGTTGATATACCTGTAACACGTTTTAACATTGAAAATATTTCTTACGATAAAAAGAACTTTACGTCATGAGTGAAACGATTGTTTAGTAGAAACCTAGATTTCGTCGTTGCCGTGTTAATTTCATGATCCGTTTGTCGAGTTCCTTGAATTGGCTTCTCCTCTGAGTCCGTTTCTCCTGATGATTCCTCAGTGCTTTTGTTACTTTCCGTGTTCCTAAAGTTTTTACTTTATTCAAACTGTATCTAATATTCAAATTAATAGGAACATTTGTTAAAATATTTCATATTTATTACCTGTACCTCGTACGAGTGCGGAATGGTTTTGAAACATGTTCAGATTCTTTATCCTGATTTCTAGAAAAAAAATACATACATATATATATGTATAAAAAATAATGTAGACAATAATTTTATGATACATTAAAATTTTATTGATTTTTTTCTTACTTGGTTGATCCGCTAGGACGTCGTCGGCGAATTGGAGTTTCCTCTTCCGCATCATCAGCTTTCTCTTCCACGTCATTTTCATTTCTAAAATATATTTGTATATAATATCAATGTTATTATTAATTTACTATCTTTATTATTCGATAGACCTACTTGGATGTAGTTGTAGAAAATCGATTGCGTCGAATATTTACATAATTTGGCGTTACTCTTTGTGTCGAGGTACTAATTTCTGATGGATTGCTGATAGTTTCATCTTCAGAGGAAGCTACATTTACATTATAATCCTCCAATTCGTCATCATCATCAGTTTCTTCATCCTCTAATTGTGGTGCATTCGTCGATGCTCTATTTAAAAAAATGAACACGTTACTTTTAACGTTACTTTCGAAAAAAAATTTAATTTAAAAAAAAAACTTACTTTGGTCTTTCGATCGTAACATATTGTGGTTTTTGAATCCGCCTGAGATTCTTCACCTCGGGAATTTCATCCAAACCTTCAAACTGGGCCCTTCCAGGTCCATTTTTGTAATTATTTTTCTCAGAAGATCCCGAAACATTGCTGTTAATTATTTTGCTAGCCTGTCGGTTTAAAACACGTTCGTATAAAGTACGACTGATCGTAGCTGGGGTAACAGGATCGTTATTCGAGGTGGCACTTGAACCTTTTTCTTGAAGGTGTAGTTGTTTCTCAAGTTCTTCGATACCACCTATCATATAAAATAATTATTTTATTTATTATTAATACTTTATACTATTATGATCATATTCTCAATAGAATAGAATTTCACCTGCTTTCCTAATAAGATTGATTAATTCCTTGATTACTCTAGGATCTTCTTCATCTGTAGGATCACTGTTCTTATACTCTTCTTCTTTCTCTGGCTTTGACGTTGTACTGGTGGTCTTACTTGCTGTACTGGGTTTATTTCTATTAATGGTTTTATATTGTAATGGCTTCATGGTCGAAGTAATTTTGAATTCTACTTTTTCTTCCTCTTCCTCTTCCTCTTCCTCTTCGTCATCTAAATCCTCCAATTCTTCTTCATCGTCGTAATATTCTTCCTCCTCTTCGGAATCGGATTTAGCCGTTGTTGTACGTTGCGTTGTACTATGTAAATAAGTAGTACGACTGGTGGCTGCTGTGATCGGTGCTCTTGTTGTCGTTTGCGGTGTTTTAGCTTTAGGACAAACCACATTACGTGGATAGTCACAGGAATCGGCAGCTTTGTTGAATACTAGACCTATATCGAACAAGGTGATATAAAACAAATTAGACTTATATCGCTGAGAAACAAATTTGAACGTTTGACATTAACATCATTTGACATTAACATTGGTATTAACAAATATGAATGTACATATATATATATATATTTTACCTGCTGGACAAGTGAATTGATAAACGACTAATCCCAAACCTCCAGGACCACTATCGAGACACCAGAAATATTTTTTGCATTCACGTGGATGTGGGTAGAATCCTTCGTCTTCGCATTTAAAATCTGATTCAAAGAAATCAACAAGTTGGATAAATTTTGATGTTAAAAAAATAAAAAAGAGCTTAAAATTATTTAACCAACCAGTTCCAGGATCAGGAGTAGTTGGTGGTTCGGGTGTGGTCAATTTATTGCTTAGAGATTCTCCGACCGTCGTTGAATCTCTATCGTTTTCATCGTTTTCATCGTTTCTTATTGGTTTCCTACGTCTACCAGTGGACGACCGATTTCGATTATTGCTTCTGTTCCGTGATCTTTTTCTTTTATTTTTATCCGAACTTCTCACAGCATTACCACTTTCGTTTTTCTCTTCGATAGAAGATGGATCGTAAGATCGTCTTTCGACTTCTCGATCTTCTTCCTCCTCACTGAATCTCGTTCGTGCGATTGTACGATACTTTGTCCTAGAGGTGGTCACTTGTTTTCTTGTCACAGGCGCTGAAGTTGTACTTCTTCTAACGTTCGAATTCACTTTTCGACGTATAGAATTATTGGGTGTACCTTGACCACGCAATTTTTTGCGCGACTCCGATGACTTTGGCTTTTGAGCTACGTTTCTTCTAAAAATAATATATGAAATTGTTGATATTGATATTGATTAGGTTCATCGAATTATGAAAAAAAAATAAATAAATAAATAAAAAAAAAATTACTTACGTATCTTCGATAAGGAGTGTCTCTTTACCAGCCTCGATCAAAGGATAAGGTCGATTATGACACTTCCCACGGAAATCATCGTTGTCAATTGACCAGAACATTATACCACCAAGATTCTTTTCGTTTATAAAACGAGCCTTTAATCGAACAATGTCAACATCGTCATAGCCTACCCATTGATTACCCTTAAAAGCATATGGTCCCATTGCTTTAGGATTTGGTTGTATTACTTCCCAATCATCCGAATTCGTGATACCTTCACAAATCTATGATAAAAGAGATCGTATATATCTATGTCACTAAATTCATATATTTTCTTATATGATTTTAATATCTAATACTAACTTCATAATAAGAAAGATATCCTTTTTCACGTGTATCATCACCTTCGATACCTGGACCATCAGCTGGTGATCCCAAATCTGTTGCATCTTCGTTAAAAAGTGTATAGGAACGACCATACGTTGGAATTCCTAATATGATCTTTTCCGATGATGCTCCACTTTTCATTAAATGATTGATTGTGTAGTTCTAAGATAGATAAAAAATATGGTAATAATCATATCTTTTGGATCTATTCTATATATATATATATTATCAATAAAAGATCTTACAATCGTTAATTCACTGTCATAATTGTACTCATTGTCCTCTTCTAAAGGATAAAGAGGAGCGTGATGATTCACTGCAGGTTCGTAAGCTGAATGATAATCGTAAGATAAAAGATTTATGAAATCAAGATACTCGTTCAAACGAGGCACGTCGTATCCTTTGTCAATGTACTCGATGCCAGCAGGCATGGCCATTGATAGAAGTAGTCGTGCTCTTCCGGTTTTTTTCGATTCTCTTTCGAACTCCTCGTAAAGTTCCTTTTTAAAGAAGATACATTTAGAATTCGTACTTCATCTTCGATTTAAAACGTATAAAAATATCAGGCTTAACGTTACCAATTGCAAATGATTTCTGAGAGTTTCTGCATAATTTTGAAAGAATTCATTGTAATCTTTTAAAATTGTTCTTACTTACTTGTACAAAATTCGCATAATTATTTTTGTCATGAGGCTTTCCACCGTCTCTAAAAGCTGGATACTCCCAATCGAGATCAAGGCCGTCGAAATGATTTTGCCTAAGAAACTTTATCGAATTTTTAACTAACTCTTTCCTTCTGGTAGGATCGGCAAGCATCGGTGAAAATCTACTGGAACCTTCGTTCCAACCACCGATCGCTAACATGGTCTTTAAATTTTTATTATATGTCTTCAATCCCGTGAACTTAGCATAACCACCTGTATCAATATGTAAAGATTCATAGAAGATTTGTTTTTTCGGATAAAATTTGTCAGAATAGAATTATATCAAACGAAGATTATACCTTTCTCGATGTCCTGATACTTATCGAAAGGTTTCAACGCATTGTCCTTGGTGAAGCCACCAAAAGCGTAAATCAAATGGGTACACAAATATGGATTGATATTTTGTGGCGAGAACTTGGCTGTTCCCGGTCGATATATCGACCAATTTGTGTAATAACAAACGATCTTTTTCTCGGCTAGGCCTAAATAAAAATAAAACAAAAAGGAAAAGAAAAAGAAAGAAAAATATAAGAATAAGGAAGTTTCGCTTAGCGTGATTCACTTTCACGATTCGCTCCCGTATATTCTTTATCCCGTATGAATCCAAAAGAAAGAGAATAACCCCGATAGTTGTTTTTTTTTCTTTCTTTTTTTCTTCCTTTTTTTTTGTCATGGATTCGCATCGACGCCGATTCTTTTCACTTGCGGATTTGCACGTAAGTTCGTTCGTATAATGCTTCGGTAAATAAATATCGAGCAAACATCGCACGTAAGTAGGCAGATCGTGCCGTACCGATCTTTACCTACGTACTATCTATACATATGTACATATGTATAGATATCTCCAACTGGGAACGCGTAAATGGTTGAGAGAAAACGGCCTGAGAGAAATTCAAACGCGATTGAACTTTCATTCGTGTCGAGAGAAGAAACGTGGTAAACGCAGTCTGTTACTAACAACGCATCGATTCTTCGTTTCTATCGTTCGTTGAAGTTTCACAAAATGAGATCAAAGAAAATTTATTAATCCATAGAGATTATTAATATTAATGGCATTTATGTATGTAGAATGGAGTAACAAATATTTGGAATATTTTTTTATTATTATTTATTAACAAAGAATTGAGACGACGATTCAAATGTTATTTCAAAATTTCACATTGTTTCAGTAATTAGTAAAATGTATATACATTTCATTTTACTTTCGTCGATCCTCAAGAAACAAGATGGTAAAAGAAAACAATAGAAATTGTATAAGAAATCGATTGAGTGACCCTGACCAAGCATGTGGGTCAGGTTGAGGAGGGAGGTCAGTCGGCGGCGATCTCTCGTGTGAAAATTTATCCATATGCTCTTTACTTGTTGCATGTATACGAATACGTAACACCAAAAAGTAAAAGGAATGGTGAACGCCTTTAAACTTCTAACATCTCTAGTTAGACGTTCGAAAGATATCCCTCGATATAAAACTACTTAAGATTCTATTTCACTAAACACGCCCACTATATATGTAACTATACCTATATTAGACACGCGATGTAGTACCACTATGTCCGTGGTAATGGTATTAACTTCAGAACATAATACCACAGATATTATCGACAAGTGGTCGGCGTTCTTTGAATATTTTAAACCTTCTCAAGAGTGAAAAAGAAAAAGAAAGAGAGAGAGAGAGAGAGAGAGAGAAAACGTTGTTCTCATTCGCAACGAGAAAGTAGGAATGACTCGTCGATTAAAATAAACGACTGGATGTTCCCGAAGGATAATCATCATTATTCGACTTCTTCCTACCTTTTAAAAATCATTTCCGTTTATAAAACGTATTAATCGTATCAATGATTTTATGAAAGTTCTTTTAAGTATTAACTAGGTAAAATTAGGTATGTATATATCTACCTGTTAAATTTGTTATAACTACTTTTTTGAATAAATAATAAGTCAACGGTTAAGTCGATGAACGTTTGTAGTATCATACGGCGAGAAGAACTACAAACATTCTAATAGATGAAATTTACGAGCACGCTTGATATTTTTATTCTCTCACTCTTTCTTTTTCTTCCACGCTCAATGCGTCTGACTATCGCCGTTACTTGTACCACTTGTTAGACGTCTGTCAGAATTCTACCGTAACTCCTTTCATATAAAAACACATCGAATCGCTTACGTTATTCCCTTTTACGTGTTTTTACGAGATTATCAGTTGATAGTTAACGAGGTAATCGAGTTTCAACTAATAAAAAGATATATTACTTGATTATTTAAATAAAATATTATTTGAAATTAAATATTATGCTTGATATAAATAAAAAAACGATAATAATAATAATGATGGTGATAATAATAATAATAATAATAATAATAATAATAATAATAATAATAATAATAATAATAATAATAATAATAATAATAATAATAATAATAATAATAATAATAATAATAATAATAATAATAATAATAATAATCATAATAATGATATTTAAAGAGGAAAGTCTCTTTCATCATAACTTTTAATCCAAAGTGTTTTCTAATCGCATATATAAACACTCCAAAGCATATGCACATTATTTTTTTTTATATACGTGCGTATATATATGCATTTATATATACACACACACTATGTAAGTACATCGAATCGTGTCGATGATCAATGGGGATAGCGAACAGTGAATCACGTTTCGTGTCTAATGCTAATTAATTGCGGCGATTTTCACTCCAGCGAGATTAGAATTGTGAAATGACTTACCATCCTGAATTGTACCAAGGACGGCAATGGTCAGCAAGAGGAATAACGTTCGTACCTCCTGAAACGGAAGAACGTTGCATCGCATTAATAATTCGTCGTCCGTTCTCAGTTGTGTGTTGAATTTAACGATCACTTCAGTTAGCGGTATTAATCTCTTATAGATAGCGTTTAGCTTCGTCATTCATTCACGATTATTGTGACCATAGGATTGGTCATTGAAATGGTGAAAGAACGAAAGAGAACGTTCGATTATGAATGAATCTTACGAAAAGTTAAGTATATATCTCAAATTAACTTGGAACGTACTCGTTCAGGTTAATTTACCATCCTGATTTTCTAATGATCAAGTAACAACTTCATTTCTATTACAACGTAACATCTCGGTGTAGAAATTCAGGAAGAAATAATAACATTTCGTATTCCTCTTTTTATGTTCCCTTTCTTGTTTCTTTTCTTTTTTTATCTTCTTTCTTCTTTTTTCTTCTCTTTTGCTTTTCTTTTCTTTTTTCTTTCCTTACATGCCAAGGTGCAATTTATATATAAATTCACTTTAGTAGACACTACATAAGAGAACGTGCCTCTTGAATTATCTAGCTTTAAATAATTCTAATGTAATTCCATATTGCAATAATGTAAAAACGTTCACTTTTACATTTTATTATTCGCGAAGACGTTGTCCTTGCATTTTATCACCTTAAGCGTTCACAACTGTTATGTTATGTTAAAACGAGGTTATTATTGTTTATCAAATATTTAATAGATCTAACAGTGACAATGATGATTAATTATTTAATCATTATTCATATGAAAAATACATTGAGTCCTTTCATTATATAAAATCTCAATGATCGAAACACCTGCTGTAAAGTCGATCGAGGTCGATCGTTATCCTTCTAATCGGATGACACGGTCAAAGGATAAATGTATCGCGACAAAATTATAGGTCTCTGGTAACACACCGTGCCACTCCTTATTATGTAACGTGTGTAAAGAGAAAGCAAGAAGAAAGAGCGCCATTCCCCGACGACTTTCTCGTATGTTTTTCAAGTTGGAGCATTTGTGTGCGCGCGCGCACACAATGTTCATGTTCGTTACGCTAATGTTACGCGTTAACGTAACGTGCCATTCCTACACACAATAACGGTTAATATCGTGTACTTTTGGAAGGTAATGAGCCGGCCATGAATTCCGAGTGAACCTGACAAAGGATCTTTCAGGACGATCCATCATAAAACATCTAATGAAAGTCAAGCGTTATTAGTTTAGGAAACGAGTCGACGAATTTCTACCGAGGAAATAATCAACTTTACGAGAAGTAATCTTATAGAAACCGGCTTACAAAAACCACGATATAAATTATAATATATACATATGTAATATCGTTATCATTTTTTTCTTTTTCTTTTTTTTTTCTTTTTTTTAAATCTAATAAATTTGCGAAAATGTCGAATTATCTCTATCGAAAAATTAAATCGAGTTAGGAAATTGAAATGGAAATTATTTAAATGTCTCCTGTTGACTGGTTTCAAATGAAAAAAAAAAAAAGAACAAAAAAATATTTAATTATAAATCTAACATCTGATCCTTCGATAAATGCTGGGCCATGGATTCATAAATATTTAGCAAGTGGCAACTTTCAAGTTAATTTGCAAATTTTTTTGTCTTTCTTTTTTTTTCTTTTTTTTCCTTTTTTTCTTTTTTTTTCTTTTCTTTTTTTCTTTTTTTTCTTTTTTTCTTTTTTTTCTTTTTTGATTATTTTTTTGATTCATTTCTTTTTCTTTACTGACAAATGACACGGATTTCGTATCTTGACCGCAAATAATATGTGGTAATCGGTAATCGCTAAAAATAAAGTGATCGAATCCGTATATCTATGTCTATGTAGAATGCATACATTGAAGTGGAGATGTGCAAACCGTGCAAAATGCAAGGTGAGTCAAAACGTTCAATGTACTCTCTTAAATGTCAAATAACTTTCTATAAAGTCGAGATCCTTTGGAGTACGTATACATTGACGACCAAACGATTTGATTATGAACGAACAAACGATATGGATATTCTTTTATGAATAGTTTCGTAATCGAAACGGAAGTTGTACTTGACGTTGTATGTTCTCTCGATGGCTCTTCGTGATCAAAACGAGACATTAGTTATTATTAATTTCGATAATAAGAGTTCGACGATCGTAATTTCTTATGTTTCCTCGATAAATTTTCTTCCTTCCGTGAATTTGGCTTTCTTTCTCTAAGCAAAAGTAAAAGTTTTCTCTCCTTCTCTCTTTCTTTCTTTCTTTTTCTCCGTCGAACGTCGCCAAGAATGAATGACATTTTAATACTAATTTGATATTATCGACATAAAAAAAGACGACGATTTCACCCATAATTTTAACTTAATACCGTTACGAACTTGAAACATCCAATCTCAACCGCAAGACCTTTCGAGATATTTTTCTAAATATGTTGTCGTAAAAAGAAAACATTAATGCTCGTTAATATTTTTCTTTTCTTTCTTTTATTTTTTTATCGGTCAATGTTGAGAATCCTCGAAAAGATTCAAATATTCAAGGAGTTGGTATAAAAATGAAAGAAAAAAAAATTTTTTTATCGCTAATAACGATGGATTGAAATTCCAAGTTTTTTATTTTTATTTTATTTATTCTTTTTTTTTCATATATGTTTAAAAATGTAATATAGTGAAAAGAATCGAAAGACGGCATTCATGCTCATTATCATAATGCGAAAGCAACCCCATTGACCTTTCGAGCTGGTTGCCGATATTCTTGGAGAACCAGATTTTATATTTCAAGGTCTTCTCTCATCTACGGTGAATCGTTAAAAACAACGAATACGTCTTTTCTTTTTTATTTATAGGAACTACGTCAAGCCGGTTCATTTTCTTTTAATTTAATATTCTCCTTCTTGTTTAGTTTTCTATAATTTTTTGAACTTGAAATTATTTATCATTTTTTTTTCTCTCTCTCTCAAGAAAATTCTTATTCACATTTATTACGATAAATTATACATTTTTATTATGCTAATCGATATTCCGTCATGTAGTTCCGATAGTGAAAAACTTCACGAAGAATGTTAATTTATCGTCTTTCTCTTTTCTATCTCGAAACTAACGGTATCCTTCATTTCGCGAATCGTTTCACTCTCGTCTTGATACTGTATATACGTAAAATCGAGTCTGTATATCGCCGCCGGGGGATAAATCCAACGTGCTTCGCCCAGTTCGCTCACTTTTACTTTCCATGGAATTCGCCTCTCAAAGCCGTACTCTCGCTCTCTTTAATAGGAAATTAATTACGCGATTGTGTCACCAATTAAATATTCTTTTTTAATTGTAAATACTGTTAGCGAGATTCTAATAATTGAAGAGACACAAGAAAATAATATTGTTAGGTATCTAACGAACACACACACACACATACATACACACATTTTCTATATCGAATAGAATATATGAATCGGTGATTATAAAAATGATCTGATGATCATTCATATATTTTTCATTTTGAAATATTTTAATACTTGAGCTTGTATTATTTACAAATTATTTTTCTTATCTTAAAAAAAAAAGGAACGATAGAAATTATTTTTTATTACCGAGAGATTATTATTTTGTATGTGTAATTTAAAAATTTTAAAAATAGCATATGAGCTATTCTTAAGCTATTTCATTGTATATCAAGTGCAATTTAATTACACAACCCAAAATGAGATAATAATTGTCGCTTACTATTTTCATATTAAAATATTTCATTCGAATAACAAATAGAAATAATTTCAATTGATGATGATTCTTGACACAATTCGTATAAAAAAGAGAAAGAGAGAAAAAAAAAGAAAGGAAATGGCAATGAGCTCATACTATAAAACGTGTGTCTCTTTTTCTTTAGAGAGAAAGAAATAGAAAAAGAGGGAGATCGATATAGAGAGAGAAAGATCGACGATTCGAAAGGTCAGCCACTGACCGTCCTCGCACACGTTAAAGTAGTTATTTACATTTTTCATCTTTTATCCTTCTTCTCTCTTTCTCTTTCTCTCCCTCTCTCTCTCTCTCTCTCTTTTACCGTTCTTTTTTCATTTTTTTTCCACTTTTTCTCTACCTTTCCAGTTACCATTCGTGGTCGAACTTTTGGTCTCGAGATAAGTAAAACACGACGACGCACCTTTTTCCTTTCACGCATTCCTCGCGAAACGGATCGTTGATGGTGCATTCTATACTTGCGAAGGTCACAGAGATATCATAGGTAAATTTGAAGGTCACAGTCGGTGAAACTACCGAGTACGATCATCGATGCATCTCTCTTTCACTAGTAAAAAGTTACCTTCTCTTTTGGTCATTTGATAAGTATACTTAATGATCTTAATTATCCTTAATAAATTAGAATTCTATTAGATCGTTACGTCTTTAATTTTTTAATACAACGATCTTATAGTAATTCAATACTATCATCTTCCTAATTTTCATATAGATAGATTAGACCATTAGAAATATTTCATTATTTAATTCGAGATAAAAGAAATTTCTTTTCCATGTTTCTAGTCAGAGGTATGCTTTAGTCCCCAATAATCGATTACCAAATAAGCGAAATGTTGTCGAAAGCCAAACCTCTCAAAATCTCGAGTACGGAGAACCTGAATTATACGTTGCGCAAAATTACTTTCTCGTTCTAATCAATGTTACCTCGCAAGAGGGAACTTTTTTCAGCTTGCGTTCCTTGCACATCGTGCCTCTGTGGAAAACCTGCCAAGCCCCGGAAATATGATATCGCAACTAGCCAACGTTACCTCTCTCTTTCTTTTGATCCCTTTTAATATCTTAGAATAAAATCGAATTATTGTCATTCACGTGATTTTAATTAGATTGAACATTTTCTTTAAATAATCATTATGATTATTACTTTAAGAAGATGAGCTCGAATTTTCTTATTCTTTAAGAGTTCGATTCATTTTTTATTCTCTAAGAGTTCTATTTCGATTGGATTTCTTGAAACTCCGTATAAGAAGAAAAAAAATAAGAGAATTTTGTGTTTATAGCGAGGGAGAGAATCGTTACAGGTATGTCGATTTTGCAATCGAATAGCCAGAGGCACGTTCGCTCCTTCTTTGCTTCGCATGCGTCGTCGTAGAGCAACTTAAAGCGGAGTGCAATTCGAACGAGGCGAATAGCATTGGACAGCTTGAATAACCGGTAAATTTCCCCACCAATTTAATAGTGCCGGTTGATCGTACACGTTCGATCAACACGTATATATGTACGAGTACGTAGATTGAACCCTTCCAAAAGGGATCGAATATAGAATTTTTCGAATTCATCTTCGAAATCTCTCAAAGAAAATTGATTTGTGTCATCGATAGAGGAGCCAGAGTTTATGTCTAACAATTCCGTTCTCAGGCAACTAACAATTACATATTTAAACGTTGCAATGAGAAAGGATTGCGTTAACGAGCGTGAGGATTTTGCTGGATAAGAAAAGGCCCCTTGCGGTGTTTACAATTAATTACAAAAGAATTACGAGTAGATTTAAATGAACGTAATAAAATCTCTCATTGGTAAAAAGCATCCATTAGCAGGCAAATATATATATATACTTTTATTATAAGAGAAATTGTAGAAATCATCTGAATACAACCGTACGTAATCGTCAGTGATAATCTACTACTCGCTTAAGCGAAATTATGAAATTCATGCTGAGAGAAATAAGACGAAGAGAGTTCTAGTAAGACAGACCAGGACTTTACGATAGAGCATAAAACGTATTTCACTCTCGCATATTTCACGTTTAAAAAATATTCTCGGTACACTCGTAAATGTAAAACGATGATGTTCCTTGACGTGATTGATCGTGTGTGGTTGTCATTGAATGATTTATAAATTATTAATATTATGAGAAAACGAAACTGTCTTTATTTTAATCAATTTTATTTTCTAATCTTACCCAATCCATCTTTCTTCCTCTTGAAGCTAACATTTTTTCTTTCTAGTAATGTTTCTTCGAGGACTGGGTTCGGCTCAAGTCAGGCACATCGTGTTGTACCAACGCACTATGCCTCTCTATCTATTTATCTATTTATTTATTTATTTATTTATTTATTTATTTATTTATTTATCTATTTATTTATTTATTTATTTATCTATTTTTTGGATGAGCACAACACGCGACCTTGTATCTGGTCGATGACACCGAAGGACACATACGTATTACATAGAATTCGCGACTACTATTCTCCAGGACGAAGAATGTACAACTGACGAGGTCTTCTTGCGATCGGTTGGAAGGTGGACGAGTCGAAGAGAGTCACTGTTACTTTCATGGGCCGTCTCCGCCTCCAACCATCGCTATCACCTTCGATATACACGAGGGGCCCCACCAGTCGATTCGCATTTTCATTCCATCGGCATAGGTCCCTGCTCGTACTTCAACTGGGAGAGGTGAAAGGAAGATATTTCTTTCTGGCTGTCTTCCATGAATACCTTGTTGTCTTCTAGGCTGGTTATCATATCATCCACTTTATTTGATTATAGAGAAAGTTAAAAAGAAATATATATATATATATATATATATATATTTAAATAAATATATATATATGTATATTTAAATAAATATATATGTATATATATTTTTTTTAAATAAATAAATAAATATATATATACACATAGATTAAGATTATTCGTTTAAAATATTTAAATTTAATGTTTATCAGAAATAATTTGTTTAACGATTTACATCAGAATATATAAGAACGTTGATTCTAATATATAACGATAAACGATTGAAACTAGTAGAACGTGGGTTGAAGATTACTATTTCATGCTACTTAAACATGTTAACTCGCATAAGAAAAACGAGAGTATCATAAAACCTAAATACATCGAATTATTTCGAATCATTATGATTGCCAAGGAGATAAAGAGAGGTGGCTCGCGCGACATTGCTCTCTCGTTAGAAATTATGTCTTGCATTGTTTTCGAGAAAAGTGAGAGAGAGAAAAGTTCGCTATAAACGTGAGACGAAGGTCAATGTAGTACATGACGTGGATGGAAAACCGTATTGACTTTCGTTTTGAATAATTGCCAAAAGTCACAGTATGCGTGTTAAGTGCATCATAGTAAAGGTCATCACCCCTTTTTTTTTGTTTTTTTTTTTTACTAAAAATTTAAATCATTTTTAGTGATATCATTCTTAAGAAAATATTTTATACTTACATTAAGTAATTTTATATAAAATTAATACTGTTTTGTAATTATTTCATTTCTATTAATAAAATGATATACATTGTTAACAAGAAAAATAGATTTTACTATTTTAATAGTACAAAAATTATTATTTCCTATAGATTATAAATATGATATAAATATAATATATATATATATATACAAACTACACATATCGATGAATAGAATGAAATTATTCATTCCGTTTCTAATCCGACCATTTCAGGATCCAAAACTGATTTTTTACTCTTTTTCGACGAACTCTCTATAAAATAGTGTTTGAATAGATAAAAAATGTTTTATTAACAAGTATTTACAACAATCATAAATAATGTGAAATATATATAGCGTACCTTCGTGAAAATGTTTGGCAGTTCTTTTTCTAATTTCTTCAATACCTTCTTCTGTTTGTGCCCATTCTAATACTAATCTTCGGCCGTATAAATGAGTACTTTGACATAGCGCTTGGAAAGCTTTCTAAATCGATACAATAATTTAAATTGTTTAAATTAAAAGTAATAATAAATACGTAATTGCAATTCAATAATCTATTACCTTCGCTTCGCTTCTTGTATAATACTCTACAAAACCGAATCCTCTATGTTTTTCAGCACCAACCAATTTTTTTGGTAATCTTACTGCTTTTAATTCGCCAAATGCTCTATAAATATAAAATTAAATATTGTAAAAAAGGAAGAAAAAGAATTTATGTATAAAATGATATATAAATACGCACTTAAATAATTCTGTCATTTCTTGGAGTGTTGCTTGGAAAGGTATATTTCTAACTAAGATTTTTGTTCCCGTTTGTGGTGTTACTTTGGATGACTTTTTTGTAGTTTTAACTTCGGATCTAAATGCGTTTAATAAAATTATAATAAAAGCATACTATGTAAAGAAATTTGTAGTAATATTATAAACATACGTCAATATTCTCTCGGATCTTTTTAATTCCAAAGTTTTACCATCAAGTACTGTCATTTGTAATGTTTTCAAAGCACGATCTGCATCAAACTTGTATTTATATCTTACAAAACCATAGCCCATAGACAATTTTGTACCAGGATTTTTTATATCTTTTTTAGTTGCTATCATGGCATAATGAATAGGGCCACATTTAGAAAAATACTAAAAAATACAAACGTATTATATTTTTTTTCTAAATGTGCATGTAAATAAAATTAGAATATAGATACCTCTTTCAATGTATTTTCTGAAGTTGAAAAGTTCAGGTTTTTTACAAAAATAGTTGTATCCGGCTCTGGCTCATCGTCATTTTCATTCTCTGTTTCTTTGTCTTTATCTGATTGTTTTTTATTTAATTCATCTTCTTTTTCTACTTTTTTCGTTTCTACAGGTGCTTCTTCCAATTTATTTTTTAAATCATTTTTACTTTTATTTTTATCTGATTGACTAAGTTTATTTGTGAAACTATTATCTGGTGCCCATTCTAAATATAACGGTAAATGTTTGAATTTCGTATATGCCAGCTTTGTAAATGCTTTGCGTGCTTCTGATGGTTCTAAAAACTCCAATAAGGCTGAAAATCGGAAATATTTAAACATTAATATTCTGTTCTATGTAATATTACATTATTGATTTCATTATAGTGTTATAATGTTATACTAAACCTGTTATTCCTGATGGTGGCATAACAACTCTTCCAAGTTCTCCATGTTGAGCAAACATGTTGTAAATGTCCTTAGCTAATGTACCAGCTGGTAAATTTTTCACGAGAATAATGGTTTTTGATCTTTTCTCTGGTGGCTAATAAACGCGTTAATAATATAAAATTACAATTAATTCGTATAAATATTCCCTGAATAAAATGCTTATATAATAGATAAGTTTAATTTACTTGATTAAATGCATCCAAACAAACTTCGTTTTCTTCCAAAAATTTTCTTGTCTCCTGAACTAGTTGTGTTTCACCCAATGCTAATTTGACAGCAGCACTCATGCTTTTTGATTCATCTTCCAGTACCTTTATTATTAAATGACACATATAAATATTATAAAACATTTTTAATTTCTAACGTTTTTTAAATACAAAAGGTATATAATGTCAAGTTTCCATACGTGTTCTTTACTTGTGTTGTATGTAGCTGCTATTGCTTCTGCAATAGCATTTTGTCCCAGAAATAATGTATTCCAATTGTGAGATGAATTTGCAGTAATTTTATTTTTTAAATCTTTCTTTTGTTTATAAGATAAATTTTCTATATAAAGAAGAAAAAAAAATGAAATAAAATATTATAATTTTAATTACACTGAACTTTATATATATAAAATGTCGATATACGTTACATTAAAAATATACCTTGATCAAGATGATCCATTAAAGAGGATTTTGTTTTGCCTGGAAGTAAATGTAACATTCTACCATTTAGAATAGAACCATCCAATTCAGAATAAGCTCTAATAGCATGTTCAGGCATTAAAAACGTTACTGTACCAAAACCTTTTGGTTTTCTAGTAGTTCGATCCACAGGTAAGTTAACTTCAGTTAAAGGACCTAATTAAATTAATGTTATATAAATAAATATACAAAAGTATTATCATACATGGTAAAAAGTGTCCAAGCATTACCATATTTTTCAAATAATTTTCTGATGTCATCCTCTGTTGTGGTATAAGTAAGATTTCGTACAAACATTCTTCCAGATTCTGCTATACTCTCTTCATTTTTTAACGATTCTTCTTGCTTTTTCCATTTAACATTACAGTCATTAATTTCTACATTTTGATCTTCCTTAGTTTCTAAGTTTTCCTCATACTTCGTCAAAAATATCTGTCTTCCATCTAAAATATGTATTAAATCCATATAAAATATATATAAAAATGTATAAATTTTTAATAGTGAAAAAAATGTACAAAAATTTCTTCCCAAATAGCTTTTAATTACCTAAAAAGCTTTTATTTTTTAATAATGCCTTTCTCATATGCTGTTCTGTTTTGAATCCAATGTAAGCTATCCCTTTGATTTTAGGTGGTATACGTATAGATTTTGGTTTTAAAGGTTGAAGAAATTGCTTTATGTGTTTCTTTTTGTGGTTATATGCTAATCCTCGTAATTTTATTGTAAAAAATTTTACAGGACCATGCTTTGTTATAGAAACTTCTTCTTTATTAGTAATTTGTGTTTTCTTCTTTAATGCTTCCATATACTATTTAATAAAACAATTGTTAACTGTTTATTATTATAAATTGGTAAAATAAAATATAAAAGATTATTTTTAATTAACAACTTACTTCTAAATCTGATATAACTTTATTTGCTAATTTTTCCTTTTCACTTTTTTTTTCTTCCTCTTTTTCTTCATCACTTTTGTGTGCAGAATCATCACTCTCATTATTTTCTTTGTTATCATCTTGGTTTGCTATAGTATCGATTACAGCATCATTAATCCAAACTTTTTTTGAACCTGCTGCTGCATGACTTTCAAGAAATTCCATAAACAATGGGTCATCTTTGTGCTATGTTCAAGTAAATATATTACTTATATCTCTTATGCGATAAGATAGTACTGCTCAGAACTATAATAATAAAACATTTACCTTTGCAATTGCCTCTTTAACTTCTGTAGACTGACCTTCTTTACTATTCTTTTTTTTCGTTTTTATCACCTTAAAATCTTCATTTTCATTATTATTTATTGTTTTGTCATCTCCATCATTTGTATTAATTTTGGTTTTATCGTTTAGCTGCTTGTTATGAGAACTATCTGTGGCATATTTACTCCAGGATTTTGGTTTCGATGGATCACCTGATTAAAATGTTATAAACATTGATTCTTTCTCTCTATAATGAACATTATAAAACTATTTTTGATGTTATTACCTAAACCAGCACACTGATCAACAGATATTCTGCATGTATCGATACAAGTTTTATCAAAATATTCGCGTGCTTTTAATGCCTCTTCTTCTGTTTTAAATCCAATAAAACAAAAATGCCTAAATTTTCCATCTTTTGTATATTTCAATTGTACGTCGGTTACAAGACCTTTTTCACTAAAAAGTTCTCTTAATTTAGATTCTGTAACCTATTGATATAAAATTTTTATGAATTACTGTATTTATTTCAATAAAAGAATTAAAATTGTCGTAGAAATTAAATGCTTACATTTTTTGGTAAATTTTTTACTATTAATCGAGACATAATTAATTGTTTAATATTAATTCACCCTGAAATAAATGTTAACGAATGTACATTCACTGTATCATTTAAGACACATGGTACAATATTAGGTTATGTTTACATTTTAAATGGCATTCTATGGTAAAATGACATCTGTAATTTAATTGGGTACTTCTTTGCCCGCGATAATTACATAATTTTGAAAAGTATACGCAAAAAATCTAACATAATGAACATGATGAAATGCAAATATGTAAATGACTGTACATTTTAATAATCTTCTAAAAATAGATATTATAGTACATAGTTTAAGAATGTTTATGTTAATAATTATTTAATATGATTAAACATTATGTAGGTGATAGGGTAATACTTAATTAAAAGTTAAAAATATATTTTCATCTAATATGTTCATCAATTTTACATAGTACTATAATAAATAATTGTAATGATACTTTAAAATTATTTTAGTTACAATTAATATTAATAAATATAATTAATTTTCAAGTAAATACATTTCATATAATTCTTTATCTCTTTCAGAGAAAAATCGTGGAATAAAATTAATTTTTACAAGTTCTGTAAAACCTTCTTCTAAAGTTGGCGGTACATAATTTTTCCTAAAGAAAACAAATATATAGCAAAGTGTTGATAATGTATAAATAAAAAACAAATACAATATAGTATATTTTTAATAAAATATGATGAACATGATCAGTAACTTGAAAAATTTCTTTTTACTTACATATAAGAATTTATAATGATGTCGCTAATCTTGACATGATTAGAATCAGTTAACTCACGAAACTAAAAGTAAATAAAATTAAAGTGATATGAGAAGTTTATAAATAAAATTAAAAAACATTTAACAAAATTCATTTTACCCTATTATTATGTTTGGCATGTTCAGTACTTGTTGTCATAAGAAAACATCTTACTGGAATACTATATTTCTTTGCTACTACAATATATCTTTCACGTGAGGCAGGATCTGGATTAGTATTATCTATAACAACACGTTTTCCTTGGATTAAGGATTGTTCCATAGCAGATATACATTTTTGCCAACTGCCCAAAGTATCTCTGTTAATGTAATCATATTCGCTTAAATAAAGTTTTGTAAAATGAGATTTCCCAGAACCAGGACTACCAATCATGAGTATTATCTGTTGTATTTATAAAATCATTATTATTTATATATAATCAAAAATCATTGTTATATTAGTTTTATACTATTATATACATACTTCTTGTAGTTTCGAAGTAATCTTAGCATCAGCAGGATGACATATATCACCATCTTTATCACATGCTTTTGGATCAAATGTAGGTAGAACATATGATACAGCTTTATGTCCAAGAAAGTGTTCTTCTGGGGTTTGAAATTGTAAACCTATGTTCATAGCCATTAAACGATCAACTTTAGAATGATCTTTTTTTTTACCAGGTGCCCAATTTTTTTGTCGACCTGCTGCATCTCCAACGTAAAAAGAATTTGATTTATCTATGTTAAAACCTCCATTTTTCTAAAAAAATATAATTATGCCATTATAATAATGATATACATTTTCAAAAAATAGAAATATTCTTATATTGTACATACATAATTGATTAATTTATTCCACATTCCTGGTGCTGGTTTTCTACATATGTCTTTCCCAATAGAAACAAAAACCTATAAGTTATAATATTATATAAGTAGAAAAGAATTATAATATAATCAATTATAACCAATTATTTAAAATAAATAAAACATTAGAAATGTAGAAATATTTACTTGAATGGGAACACCTAATTTTTGTACTACTCTTTCAATTTTTATTTTAAAATCTTCTATTGTCACTTTTCCTGTACCAAGAGCTCTTTGATTTGTAAAAATTACAATTTTATAACCATCTTCATACAATTGTTTTAATTTTTTAGGTACTTCAGGAAATAGCAATTGCCAGTCATTACAATCTTTTGGAAATATAAGACCAGATTTTGTCTTTATCAATGTGCCATCCATATCATATGCAGCTATCTGTAATAAAAAATTTTTGTAATACAATTTTAATACAAAATTAATGTTATATATTATCTTCTGTATCATATAATATTTTCATTTTTTCAATTAAAATCTATCTCTCTCTCTCTCTCTTTCTCTCTCTCTCAAGAGAATTCTTTCTCAATATATATAATATATATTACCTTCGTACGATTTTGTATATTCGATGACGTATAAATTAATAATTCTTTATTATTTTCCCAAAGGTCTGTTCCTTTAGTTTTATTATTATCCATATCATTTCCTTTGGATGTAGAAGCAATAGAATTTAATTCTTCATTATCTTCTTCATTTCTTGAATAATCATTTTTATTGATTGTTTCCTGTATAGTAGCATTACATTCATTTTCAACCTTGCGTATTTTGTATGAATTTGTTGTATTCATACTTAATGATTCATCTTCCGAATCATAAGATCGTTTTCGTTGAAATTTTTGATTTTGCTTTTCTTTAGGTGGTGGATTAAATTCAATTTGATATGTATGCTTCCCATATAAAATTTCTAAATAATCATTATGGTTAATGATTGATCTAACATCTTTTTGTGTTTTAAAACCATTTATACCACAAGCTCTTGTCCCAATTTGTTGAACTGATACTGTATGTTGTAAATAATCAGCACATAGTCGAACTAATAAAATAATAAATAATTTTTTAAAAATTCACAATTAATATTTTAAAAATGATAATATATAAACTGATATATATATATATATATATATATATATATAATCATATAATAAATATTTGAAAGTTATAATATATTAAACCTTGTTGTCTTGAACATTTTGTATCTGTAATATTAGTTTCTTGAGAACGTCCTATAAAAATTGGAGTAGAATCAGGTAAATAAACAGTCGATAGGGAATCACTGTTACTTCGTAAATAACAACTCTTAGCTCGTTCATTCATTCCGATATAATAAAAAGTCCTGTAAAATAAAAATCCAATGAAATTAAGTCACTCTTTTTATTTATAATCTAATCTATATAATCTTAAATCTATATATTTCTGTTATAAATCTCACTGTAATTTTTAAATGTTACATTTGTAATCGTCGTGTTTCAAGAAATTGTAATATTATCGTTCATAAAATTTTATACATTGCTTTATCATTTTATTAACATCTATCATATCAATATATCAGTCTATTATATATCATAGTATTTCAAATCATTTTTTTTATGATTATAAAAAAAATGATTATAGTAAATTTACTATAAAAAAAATTCAATGAAAATGATTTTTAAGAATGGACACTTGAATAGAAATATTCCATTGTCAATGTTTTTTGTTTAGTCATTTAGTTAATTGTGCATTGTATTTGATTGGTACTGAATAATTAATGAAACTAATCAATCAAACTCGATTAATTTTAATTAACGATCAACAGTATAACAAACAAAAACTTTTAACTTTATGTCATTTTTAATTTATATTTTCGTAATATCAATAATTATTTAAAAATTTTATTTTACTTTGTCCTTCGTACTCTCCTGGGTATCATTAAATGCATAATCGCCGTATGATTGGTCAATGCGGCCTCTACTGGTGGCTCATCTAATCTTGGCGCCTTAATACTCTACTACGTTTTCTTTTGTATTTGTGATACATGATTAAACTGCATCTACGGCCGTTACAGTTTTGTTGTTCGGTCACTGTTTTGTGTATTTATATTAATTTTTAAGAAAGAACTAGTCCATTTTAACAATGAGTGCAGAAGAAGAGGTTTTACGAATTCAAAAGAAATTAAACAAAATGTCAAGTGGTGACGGGACGGTGAGTAAGTGAGTAAAATTAATCTAGTTGCATATCGCTTGAACATGTTCGAAGTATTAGATCAAGGAGGATAGCATTTCAGGAATAAAAGGTCCGGAATAAAAGCCTCTTGAAATTCGTTAATTAAATAAATTATTGAAATATAAAGAATTTATAAATAAACAAATTTATTATAATTCATAGAACATAATAAAGTTAATCATAGTGCATGTTCTAAGTATAATATTAAAAGTGTTTGATTTCGTATAGTTTGATTTTTGAAACTATTATAAAAGAGATAATTTTGAATGTCAAAAACTTATTATTTTGTGAAATAACAATTATACATGATACTCTGGAGAAGTATTAAACAATAAGTATTACAAATTTCTGAAATTAAAAATATTTTAGTTGCTTTTGAGTGCTTTTCTTCATTTCTTTTCAGGGTCAAGAACAAGCATTGGAGTTACTTAAAATTTTACAGAAACTTCCAGTTGATTTAGAACTTTTAACAAAGACGAGAATTGGGATGACTGTAAATGCTTTAAGAAAATCAAGTAGAGATGAAGAAGTAATTTCATTATCTAAAACACTTATTAAAAATTGGAAAAAGTTTTTATCAGGTAAGAAAATCATATATAATTGTAAAAAAATTATGATTATATAGAAAATTACATTTCATATGTTTTATTTCATGATTAGTTTCAACTCCATTTCAGGGTCCAATAAAGATAAAGATTCTACTACTTCAAGTAGCTCAAAAAAAAGAGAAGAAAAATCAGAAAAAAATAAAGATGACGCAGATCAAAAGAAAGACAAAGATACAATGGATGGAAGTGATATTAAAATGAAAGAAGAAAAGCCTAATAAAGACCTTCAAAGGAAACAAGCTTCATTTCCTGCTCCGACTACAACAGATGCTGTAAGATTAAAATGTAGAGAGTTATTAGCTGCTGCTTTAAGAGTGGATGGAAAAACAATTGATGGATGTGCTAGTCCAGAAGAACTAGCAGAACAATTAGAGGAAGCAATTTACGCGGAATTTAAGAATACTGATAATAGATACAAAAATAGGGTAAATAATAAATTAAAATACAATAAATCTTGCTTGTAAATTGTACTTGTAAATCTTATATGTTATTTTATAGGTACGCAGTCGGGTTGCTAACTTACGTGACGTTAAAAATCCTAATTTAAGAACTAATTTTCTTGTTGGTGCTATCACTCCAGCACGATTAGCTGTTATGACAGCAGAGGAAATGGCAAGTGATGAAATAAAACAATTACGGGAACAGTTTAAAAAGGAAGCCATTAATGATGCACAACTTGCTACTGTACAAGGCACTAAAACTGATTTATTAAAATGTGGCAAATGCAAAAAACGCAATTGTACCTATAATCAAGTACAGACACGATCAGCTGATGAACCTATGACTACTTTTGTGCTGTGCAATGAATGTGGAAATCGATGGAAATTTTGCTAATTATTCTCATCGCTTTCGTAATTCTTTATCATTGTCATACGTGAAAAATGTACTTCAATCGAAATGTATCTATAAATTGGTATTTGTTTGGCTTATGCCAATAAGACATCATTGAAAAATATATAAACACTACGAATCTTAAAATGTACATTGATTATCTGATTAGTACTACATCTTCATTAAATTAGAATATCTATTCGAATGTATATATTAAGAACAGAATGTATTTAATCAATGTACTTTATAGCACTTAAATTGAGACTGTCATTAATTTTTTTGAATTTGATGGATTAAGTAAACATCTTAGAGATTTTAAATGAATGATAATTATTGATCCTCCCTAATTTGGTGAACTTTTTATTATAACTTGTAGTATAATTCATGTTTTTTTATTTTTAATTTCTAATTTATTTTTAAATCTATGATTTGTATATGGACTAACACGCCTTTGTCACATTTTCAGACAGATACAATTGGTTGTGTGTTGGTAGAAATATTGCATATATGTACATGCATTAAAATAGTACACCAATGAATCACTGCGCCATCTGACTCTATAGATACAGAATTAAAATCATAGATAGATTTTTATCTCATAACTTAAAGATATTAACCTAATTATGGCCGAATAGTGCGCAGACGCATCGTAGTCATATGATAAAAGAGGAACTTGAAGGTCTAGTAGGATAACATTATTCTAACCTTATTTAAATTAGCAGTAATTGGCATGTGACCATAGATGATGGATGTTGTCAATAATAATGAAATAATTTTTGCATCTTTGTCTATATTTCTACAAAGAGAAACTGATTTATATATTTTAAAATATGAAAATACTTGAATACGTAATAATTGAATAGAATCTAAACGTCATGAAGATATTGGATGATATATATTGTCCCAAGCAATATTATTCAACATTTACAATGCTATCAGATATACTGTCATTTGAATTATAATATTGTATTATTTTCTTGATCTTCTCTTGATACTTGATAAACAAATTAATTTATTTATAGCAATATATTTTTTTATAATCAGAAGAATGTGTGAAGATATACATGTGAAAGAACAATGGCAACTTCTACAGAACCTCAGGTCTACAGTAGAAGGGTTGCTGATTGATGGTATAGCAAATGTATGGAATGTTTATGGTGGTTTAAATCGATTACATAATGCGATGGAACAAATCTTTAAACATGGTTGTCGTATATTCAATTCTAATGTAAGTAAGAGGTATATGCATTCAAGAAACAAAATATAATATTTTCATTGATATGTAATTTAAATTTTTATTAAAATAAATTATTAGTATCGATAATAATTAAAATTTAAAGGGTGAACCAGATTGTTGGACTTTTATTCAAGGATTAAATTGGCTTCAACCATCGTTAGTATTATCACCTATAGTATCTGAAAATGAAGATTATTTTTCTAATTTACCTGCAAAAATAATTTCTCAAAAGGATATGTTATGGTTGTACAAAAGGTAAAGACATAAATTTAAAACAAAAACTGATTTTTATCATTAGGAAATAAATATCAGGAATATCTTGACAGTTTGGAAAGCCACAACCTATCTCATAAACTATCCTGGCTTTTATCTGATAAGGAACATTTACTTTCTTGTCTTGAACCATGGGCTTTCCTATGTCAAGAAAATTTAGCAGAGGCTACACTCATATGTTTAAAAGCTGTGGAAAGGAATCAACCTGTACTTCTTACCGAGATTGATCCATGTTTAGTAAGTCATTATCTAATTGTAGAATGAGTATATATATATATATATATAATTCTATGTAATAAATTAATTTAATTTAAATATTTACAGTTTCAACCAAACTGGATTTCTTCTAATTTAAGCCCTAAAAGACATAAACGTTCCTCATCTTATCCTGCCAACTTTTGTTCTACAACTGTTGGTATACTCAGAGAGAGAAAAGTACACATTCAAACAAACAGTCAGTTAGAGCCATTCAAAATATCATGCACGAATAAAAGTGTTAAAAATGTTACCTCTGAACATAACCAAGATAGTATTAATAAAAACAATGTAAATAAGATGGACAAAATAAATGAAATATCTTTGAAAACTTGGAACAGTCTTCCAACATTAGATGACTCTTATAAAAGTTCTTCAGAAAATTCAATTGTTTTGAAGTCTAATGAAAATACTTGTGTGCACAAAACTGTTAGAATTCGAACACCTCCTGTTGAGTTGTCAAAAATAATTCACATAAATTACTCAGATGTAAAACGATCAACAAATTCTGTGGATGAAAAAGTAGCAACAAAACCAAAGACTCCTACAAGAAAAATTAGGAACAAATTAAAAATAGCGCATGATAAAGAAATGTTGAACACATCTAGTGGAAGTTCAAATACTTTAAATTATGAGGATTCAATAAGAGCAGCAGTTGAAGAATGTTGTATTTCATCGAAAAACACAGATGGAATACATTTAAAGAAATCTGCGACTAATTCAAATGGTATAAAAATTGATCAAAAATTAAAAAAGAAAACTACTTTTTTGCCAGGATCTGCACCCGAGTTTTCTATTTCATGGTCAATAGAAATTGAAGGACAAAAGGATATTAGAACACCAAAGAAAAGTTTTATGGAGGATGGAGGAAGTAGTGTCCAACCCATGGCTACAGGATATTTTCCACGGCCTATAGAAGGACAAAGCTTGACAAGTTTTTTGTCTTCTGCACAATTTTCTAAAGCTAATGCTGAATTAGATAGAGAAAATGCACATTTTAGTATCTCTGAAGCTATGATAGCCGCTATTGAACAAATAAAGTGTAATAGGCAATGGTGTCTTGTAGATGAAACTGTTGAAGATAGTGATGAAGAAATTAATAATCTTAAACAAAGAATACGAATTAGACGACGTCAACGACAAGAAGAACGATATAGAGGAAAAACATGGAATCGTGATTTATTTAGTGATGGAAAGACTGACACAACTACTACTGATCAAAGTGCGAGTCCCTTGTCAAGCTCTTCTAATACTCCATCTGATAGTATTTCAACAGATGATATAGAAAATATAGAAGTAGATAATGTAAGCATGACAAAATTAAAAAATTCTGGAGTATCTGCATCTATGGCTTCACTATATTCTGACACTGATTTGCATCAATTTAAGCAAGGTTTAGAATCGTCACAAAATGGAAGTATTATATCTGCAGAAGGTGTAGCATTATCGCTTATTAGTAGATTTAGTGAGAAACAGCTCCCACGAGCAAGTGAATTACAATGGCTTGTCTCTGAAAAAGATGCTCCACAACAATTATTACCATTACCAAAAAGCTGGCCTGTTAGTCCAGATGAAGTTGAAACAGAGGAATCTATCCCATTACGTGGAACTATAGAATGGGCTCCACCTAGACCACAGATTATATTTACTCCACATCCTCCACCTATGTAAGCATTTTAAGTCACATATAAAAATAACACAGTTGTTAGATTAGTTACAATTATCTTATCAATGTGTTTTCATAGGAGACGAACTTTAATAGCTAAACAGAATTATAGATGTGCAGGTTGTGGTATGAAAGTTGCAGTCAAATATGCTAACAAGTTTCGATATTGTGAATACTTGGGTAGATATTTTTGTACTGGTTGTCATACGAATCAAGTGACTCTAATACCTGGAAAAATTTTATCAAAATGGGATTTTAATAGGTATTTCAAAATATCTATTTCAATGTATTCTGTATTTTGCTTAAAATGTGTTAAATTCATTTATATCATTTTAAGGTATTCTGTGTCCAACTTTTCATACAGATTATTAGATCAAATGATGCTTGATCCATTGTTTCAAATACAGGATTTAAATGCTTCATTGTACAGACGTATAAAACAGTTAGAGAGAACAAGAATACTTCGTACAAAGTTATTTTTCCTGAAAGATTTTTTATATACTTGCCGTTTTGCAGTAAAGTATGTTCTTTTATTATTTTTGATTTTAGATAGTTATTTATAATTATTTGTTAATGCATTTATGATGGATAATACATATTTCTAACATGTTTTTTTTTTAATCTTTCAACAGTGTTCAAGATATTTTAAAGAAAGAGTCAAATTATATAATAAATGATCCACATGTGTATTCCATTCAAGACCTGATGTATGTTAAACTTGGTATATTACCAATGCAGTTACAAGAATTAATCGAAGTGTGTAATGCACATGTTGCTGCTTGTGAAGTATGAAATATTTTGTTTAATCATTAACATACATATGTAACACACACATGTGTGTGTATTTAAAGTTATATCGTTTTATATATTTTATTAATACCTAATCATAAGACGATCACGTTTTTTGTCATTAAATTGCATTACTCAATTTGTATTTTAGTTATGTCAAGCAAGAGGATTCGTATGCGAAGTATGTTATTCTAAAGACGTGATATTTCCATGGGAATTGTCTAAAATTACTCGATGTGAAATTTGTGGAGCTTGCTTCCATAATGAATGTAAACGAACTTCAAATAAACTAGAATGTAAACGTTGTAATCGTTTGCAAGCTAGACGAGTATCCAGACAAGAAGCACTTTGACAAAAGGTAAGGATGTTTTCAACTATAGAAACACGAATTAAATTAGAATGTAAACGATAAATTTTTGAAAATTTTTAAATTATATATAAATTAAATTTTTTATTATTTATAATTGATTGTATATTTTTCTTCTCCTTATTTAAAAGAATTTTTAATATTATTAAAGAATAATCTCTTTGTAATCATAATTGATAATGTTTAGTATGTTCAAATTCTCAATATCAGCATATAGAGATCTTTTGGTTCCTTTTAATTATTAGCTATTTATTTAGTATTAATAAAATGTGCATAAATAATAGTGACGTGGAGTATTTGGATATTACTAATAACAATATTATAAATACTATCCATACCTATATATAATATTATAACATACATTATGATTAGTGTTTAGAATGTATCTTAATCTCAATAGAATTGTTTTATTTATCAGTTATTATTGTAACAATACTTTGTGCTTAATGATATACTGATAAATAAAACACATTGTATATTAAGAGCACATTTTAAATGCATATCATTAGGTATGGTAAGACTGACAAAATTGTGATATTCAATACTAATTTTCTCAATTATATATCTTTTATTTAATAAATACATTTTAAGGAAAGATATATATCTTTTTGCTAGCAATTGTTACCGCAATATAAAAAAAGAGAAATATGATAAACATATTCTATCAAAAGATGTTATTTAAACAAGAGACATTTAAAAATGTTTAAAATACCAAATAATCTAAAACATTAAGTAAACATAGAATAAATATTTCCAATAAAATATTATATACAAGTTAGTTAAAAAAAGATATATTTTGTAGATAATATGTACAAGGATAAATATGATAAAACTTGTAATTAGTTATTTAGTATCATAAGATATGCTTACAGTTAAAAAATAATCAGTAATATTAGTTGTGTATTCCAGAAGAAGTAATAATATCATAAAAGTATCTATTTTTATCTCAAGAGTATGTTATTACATATTTATTAAAATTGTTAGAATAAAAATAATTTATAATGAAAAAGAGAACTTCTAAACGTTATTAAACATTCTTTGTAAATTATTATAATTTCAAATTTGTTATATATATATATAATACATATATATAATATAATATAAATATATACATATATATATCTATATATATATATGTATGTATATATATATATATATATATTAAGGATTGACTAACAATAATTAATCGAAAGCATGACGTTATAATATTAGATTGAGAAAGCATTTACATGAATATTATGTATGTTAAATTTTATATTTTAATTTTAATTTAACATATACTCGTGCAGTTTATCAATAAACTCAATAAAATAACAAAATCATCACATGGTTTTATTATTTATAATGGTCGACACACTTATAAAATCATAGTCACTTACATATTTTATAGTTAGAAAATATATATTTACACCACCTAATTTCAATAAATCTCATAACTGCACATTACCAGATCCTTCATTAGTTTTTACTTTTAAAAATTTTTTCTAGTTTTGACCTATCCCTTACGAGCATATGTACATATTGGTTACAGTAATCAGTATGTACAATTATATATGCGAATTTGACATACATTTAGCAAAAAATCTTCCATTGCTAATACGCAATATAATTTGAATTTTTGTTAGTATACAAGTTATATTGCTATACAGAAATAATTTTGCGATATGTGCAATTAACACGCAAAATTTGTAACTTGTTCAAAATGTTGATATCACAGGTGGTATTTTATGTAATTACAGTATTATTTTATAAAAAAAAGTTTGAATGTAAGTGTAATTATAATTTTTAATATATTAGAATTAATTTTGTATTGTAATAATTTTCAATATATTATAATTAATTTTGTTTTGTTATGCTTTGGAATGCTTCATTAGCTGGATATACAAGATTAGTCACATATTATATATATATATAATAAATTAATTTGTATACAAACATTGACATATTGTAAAAACTGTATTCAATTTGACGGTATATATCTGAATATGAATAAAATATATAAGAGTAGGAGAATATAATAATTTATTTAATTGTTTCTCTTTGTATATCATTGTGAAATTTGTTTTTTTTTTTCTATTGTGAAAACATTCATCATTTGTAAAAATCTGATTTCACAATATTTTGTTAAACATTACAACGAGTATACCATAATATTTTTTCGTTTTTTTTTTCTGAAACTTTTAAAAATAAAAAACGTGCTGTAAATTTTTTCTTATCTATAATATTTATCAAATTCAGTCATTATACATCTAAAAAATAAAATACTATGGAATCGTTGCGCACATCCTGTACAAACAGTGGAAATTTGATAAATATTTGTTCACCAACATTCTGTTACTTTTATCAGTCTATATAAGATGAAATAATGCATAACAATGCGCCACACTTTTAATACACTAAGAGCATTCTGACATATTTTAAGAATACTACATAATTTTTTAACGTAGTATTATATGTGTACATATAAATTTATATAAAAGTAATTCATAAATTTCAGAAATGTAATAAATGGCCTGTTGTAGTACAGTATATATCATGCAAAGGAAAAAAAAAAAAAAAAAAAAAAAAAAAAGAAAGAAAAAAGAAAAAAAAAACAAAAAAGAAATATAATAAAATGTATTACATCTCAATCTTTTCATATTTTAAATACTTTCAAATCATTACTTCTAAGTACAAAAGTGTGACGCTAAAATATATTTTGTTAACAAAAATCGTAAAATAGATCATAGTATAGAGCAATAGAGAAAATATTGATATGTATAAATAATAATAATAAAAAAAAAAAGAAGATGAATAACTAAGTATTGTATACACTTTTTGAAGGTGGTTATGCAAAGCTCTAATTGAGCTTCAATGTCATTCAATATACTTCATCTAAATATTTTACGACAGTAATTACAATTACTCGAAAATATTTTCATTTTTCTTATTCATTAAACAAACTGTGCTTATCCGTGTATCACGATCTGCATATTGATGCTTGTTTGTTTTTATCGAATCTTAGTTTATACATAGATTAACCAATAATAATAGTAAAATCTATGCATTAAAATAATTACACAAGCATCTATCTACATTTAAACTCTTATTTAATGTATTTAAATATCTAAAGTATCTTTTAACGGCAGTTTTGCTACTTCGAAGAATATCCTAAAAAGTATAAGTAACGTTTAATTTACTAAGTAGATCTTTTGTTTTTATATATTTGTATATATAAAAACGAAGATATATATATATATATATATATATATATATATATATATATTCTTGCATATTTTAAAAGAATCTTATAAAATAATATTAAATAATATAATTCATAGTATTAAAAGTATCTACTTACTTGTGACTGTATTTATTGTAAATTGTTACTAATGCTTCTTTATGTTTTCTATGTAATCCTTCATTTAAAACGCGAACAATATCTCTTATATCATCAACTTTATAACCACTGTAATATTCTAAAGTTGGAGTCCATCCACCTAAATCTTTCATTTGAAGTGCAAGAAGAAGAGCAGATGCTGCCATTTTACTATCACTATATCTAATAGTTGAATAATCCATTAATGAATATTCTAAGATATATCGAGCCAGAGTTAACGTTGGCATTGATACTTTTGCACACTACATGTAAATAAAATTCTTATTAATATATGATTGATCATTATAAAAAAGTAATCTCAATTATAAAATAAATAATATATACCCTAGCATATCGCCTAAGAAATCTATACGAAAGAGGTATACCCAAATCAAAATCTATTACTTTCAAAACACTTATTTCCATTTTGATAAGATCTCTCTGTGTATAAGCACCATCACATATATACAAGAAATCTTCAACCATTGGAGGTATCCTTTCCTAATTAAAGAAATGTACACAAAAATTATATTGATATATGTGAAATATTATAATTATATTTCAAAACAATGAAAAAGAAAAATATTTGGGAATTATAAATTTTGATTTATGTATAAAACAAATATTACTTACATCATATTTACTGGCTATAAAAAGACTCGAAGCACCTAATAGTTGCAGAGTTTCTGTACCAACTGTGACTTTTGTTAAATAGAGATCAACTAATTTCACAGCCAAATATAAAGTTTCATGGTTAAGTTCAAAAGATTCTTGTACTTCAACCATCCAATCTACTAACAGAGATCGCATCCAACGCGAAAGACACACTTGTTTGTCCATATAATCTCCAATAGGGAATAAACATTCTCTTTCCTTTAAATAATTAAAAATGTCCGTAGCATACTGTGATACTTGGAAAGGATCTAACCAATTTTCTGCATCAAAATCCCATTGAACACCTTCAGGCATTATTCTTTCAGGTACAGCATCTAAATTATTAGTAACACATATTTTTTCTTCTTTTCTACCTGTTGTAGTATCGTCAATTTTTATTTCTTTCGTTTCTTTTTTTTCATTTTTCTCATTTTTTTCATTTTTCTCACTTTTTTCATTTTTTCCATTTTTTTCAGCCTAAATATATATTTATTTTAAACTTACACATACAGTTATATCTATATATTATTTAGAATACAATTTATTATTAATTTATTATATGCATATTAAAGTTATAATTATTATTAATAGATGCTTACCTTGTTATTTTCTCTCTCAGTTTTTTTTATACTATTATCCGATACATCTTCCAATGCACTCATATACAACGAATTATCTCCAGATTTTTCTGAGTCTATGCTACGTCTAACAGTTTCAGTATTATTAGTTTTCAACTTGTCATCTTCTTGCTTAATTGCTTTAATACGTTGTATTGGCTTTGGCTTTATTACTACATCTGTTTTTGGAACTATTTTCTCTGCTACTTTATTTGAATTAATTTGAAGAAGTGTTTTGGTTTTTGTAGCAATCTTCTTAACTACTTTCTTTGGTTCTTGTTGTTGAGTTCCAAATGGTTTTCCAATAGCCTAAAAAAAAAGAATAATAAAACAATTTGCACTTTAAAAAGATTCCTATTAAATATAAAACATTTACATTTGTAATATTTCCCAAAGCAGATCTTTTAACGGTTTTATCCTTCAGTGGTGATGCATCTGCTTTTCTTTTAGAACGAAGATCTTTGTTTAAAATTGGTTGTTTGAGCAATGCATTATTGATAAGTATATTCTGACTTCGTGTAGAAATTCCTTTTCTTAACTGTATAGTAGCTCCATTTGATCTAGCTTGTCCAATTGGTAATTTAGGTGGTACCATTTTTTTTAATACAATTTAACTTAAAAATTTTTTTACTAATTTCTAGAAAAATAAAAGAAAAGAAAAAGAAAAAACAAGTAGTATAAAGATTTGGACTAATTGATAACACACGCGCGCATGCTCGCACAAACACACACACACAGTCTTTCAAATACTTGTAAATTTGCACCAAACCTAAAAAAGAATTTTTAGATTTCATATGTAAGTATCAGCAATAAATTATCACACAAAAAATATTGTCGATTATAATTTCGGTATTTGTATTTTATAATTACACGTTTTTTTTTCTTCGGAAATGTTCACACAAGCAAAGAGAATAGTGCATCTATGAAATGAATAGTTATACATGCAACGTATTTTATATTATTTCTTTAAATCAGATTTTCTTATTAATAAATAATAATAAAAGTCAAATGATTTTTTTCTTCGATGTACTAAAAGATTGCATTAGTTTTTGTGATAAATTGATCGTACAATTTAATTTTTTCAGAGTTAGTAATAAACTTCGATAGTACAAAAATGAATGAAGTCGGAAAACGCGGGAATAAAAGGAACAATTATATTTCACGATATATCCAAGGATATTAACATTCTATTAAATTTATAAATCACTGAGAATACATTTTATTCGAGTACTTTATCAGTAAATTATAATATAAAGTAAAGAAAATTGAAACTTTTAGAAACAATCACAGAAGCCACCATTTCGTCCACAGAAAACATTCGACGCTTAGAGTATAAATGAATATAGTTATTTTCGTTGAAAGATAATGTTGAGGTTAAAAGTACATAGGAAAAATTTACCTCAGAAAATAATTATTTGTGAATATATATAATGCTTGAAAATGGATGAACTTTCACATTTATAAATTTTCTATTCGACCAGAACGTTACTACAAGACCCATTCGTTTCTATAGAGCAACTGAAGTTGACGCTGCTTCAAAACAGTTCAAAATATCACGGTTAGTACATGCATACGTTAGGATTGGTTATTCTATATTTTAGAAAGCCTATCAAAATGAGAGTTTTCTGCTCGACGCGCCATCTATCAAAGAAAAGCAAATTCTTAATTTCTTCGAATTAAACAAACTTTTCTTTCTCTTTCTATTTCTTTGCATTATCTACGACCATTTTTTTAGTTTATCGCTTTCTTATTATAAATTTTATTATAAATCGTGTGAATCTAGTTCTTAAAATGTTCATTTAAACGAATGCTTGATAATTATAACTTTTTTAATAAGGATAAAAGAAAGAATATTAGTAAGTTATACAATTATATAGTTATATATATTTAGTGTTATAGTTCTATAAAGCATCCGAGAAATTATTTGAATTACATACATCGTTCCTACATTTGTTTTTTCTTTTTTTATCGAGAACGTAATTGAACATCCTGAAGAAAAGTGTGAAATCGAAAAATTGAAGAAATACTTTATAAAATCAAAGATTAGAAAAAATAATTGTTGAAAAGTGCTATTAATATTTTGTTTACATTACAGATATTCAAAGTTCATGCTTTAACGTAACTTTTTTTAACAGTATAACTTTTCTCTATTATCTGACGTTTATGTCTACAGCATTTCAAGGTTGGTGACCTTGTTATGCGAAAGTACAACGAAAGAGAGAAAAAAAAACGAGAAAAAAGAAAAGTAGTCGATACCATACAAATTTGAAATTCTATTGAAAATAACTAAGAATACATATATACATCGTCGCTCCATATGCATTTTTTATGCACTCTAATAATAATGCCTCAATGCATTCAGGACGCACGTTCGCGATATAAGCAAATGAATGAGAGATTCGGTAACGCGTCGTTTTTTCATATATACTCTTCGTTACAATCTAATTTTTCTTTTTATTCACCTTTGATCTTAGATTTATTCGTACGTCACAAAAGTTACCGATCGCGTTAAGAAACGACTTATACATATATAGAACGTAGTGTTTATCCGTTAAGTTTCTTAACCTAAAAATCACCATTATCGAAAGTTTGTAATAAAAATTTATTATTTATATGCATACATACGTGAAATTTAATTTTTCTTTGATGCATAGAACGCCACAGTGCAAGGAAAATAACTTGTAATTGTTAGTTGTTTTTTCGACGCTGCTGTTATATCCTCGCGCATTTTGTTATGCGACTCCAAACGTTACTTTGTAACACGTATCGAGCATCGACAAAATGCAAGAACGATTTTTAGTGCGTTATATTAAAGTCGATAACTGTTTCGCCTATGTCTCGGATATTTGGCTACGTAGGCAAGGAACGAAGGTTAGTGTCTTCTATCTTTCTTGTTTTTTTTTATTACGCTAAATCATCTTACACTACCATACAGGCGACTATATCAAGTGGCATAAATAGAGAGGTACAAATTCTAAAAATTATAACCGATTGAAATTACAGTTATTATCTTTTTCGTCGTTATCGCTAGATGACAGGACTGTCGTTTTCTACATTTCTTATCTTATCGACTGTACGACGTCGATAATGTTATTTCTTTTGTTACAAATTAATTAGATATATTTAAAAATAATTTTTGTTTGTTTTTTTTTTTTTTGATTTATTATAATTATTGTTATTATTTCTCGCAGAATAACGTAATTGCGCTGTTACACAAAGATGCGACTTATTTTTTATCATGTAGTCCGAAACAAATTACCGACGGATCATTATACCTCGCTAGGCCCTTTGCGAAAGCTTTGAATATAGAGGACGGTGATGAGGTATTTGTACATTTCGTAAAATATGCGCCATCTTTGACAAGTGTAACGGTCGTTCCTCAAACGAATGAAGATCGTGAGATATTGGTAAAATTTTTACGATGATTATTACTAATTATATAATTAATGTTACTTATTAAACGATCGTAGAATATGAATATTTTTTTTTTATGTTCCTATTACAGGAACTTCAAGTCGATAGAATTCAATCGACTTTGTTAAATAAAATTCAAATAGTAGCGAAAGATCAGCCTATAGTAATTTGGATCTCGAAATTTTCAACTATCGTTCTAACTACAGGCAAGTGATTTTTCGATTTATTATAATTAATTAAACTTTATCATGTTCTTTTGATTTTGTATTTGAAATCGATTACAGAAATGCTCGAACCAAATTTTCCCTATGGAAAATTGGAACAATTTACGGAACTTCACGTGACCAATGCGATTAAAAATACTGTAAAGGAACAAATAGAATCTAATGAACTCAATAATATCGGTAGATTCAATTTTCGTGATATGTTAAAAGAAATACCAACTTTTTCGAAAATTTGCAATAATAATGGAGTCGATAAAAATTATAGATCGCTTCAAAATTATCGACAACGACGTAATCAATCTGTCATCTATCGAGTTCACTTCCTTCCGAAATTTGGCTCGTTTGATGGGTCCAATCCATTCGACGTTATTTTGAGATCTCCTTATCACGTTTTTGTACCGCGTTGTCACGTACCAAAAGACGTGCGCTACACAAATGATGGTATAATTTGTAAAATGAAGAAAGTACCGGAAGAACAAGTAAACGTCAATACACAAAGTACAAATTTTTTGAAAAATATAAAATCGCCAATTTCGAGTTTATCTTTCGAATTAACGGTGAAACTTTTCGTATTGGAGGACATATTGGATCGATGCTCAAATAATATAGATAAAATTCATTTCAAGCTCGATTTTGTTCACAGTAATATTTATATTTCTGAGAGCGTAAAAATTGGATTGCGTTTAAGAATTGGTGGGAAAGTCGTATTAACAGCGATCGATGTTGAAAAAAATTTGATTCCTTTGACAATAGAAATTTTTCCTACGATTCAAACGACGTCCTTGCAAAGCATCAAAGATTTTTTTACGAGTTATTCTATTCATGAGAAAATCTTATTAAATTCATGCGCTCCCATTATCCTCGATAACGGTAATAGATGTATCGTTAAATTTTTACCAGAGAAGTGTACTCATTCTTTTCTCGACGCAACATTATTAAAAACTATTACGATTCATCTTAAATCAAAATTAGATTTAAATGATTTATTAACGGTGAAACATGATGTAGAGGATACTTTTTACAAGAAAATTTTTACGAGGTATGTAAATTACTTTGTATATCTCCTTACATCTGTCTAATGATGATATTATATATTACAGATATTTAGAAAATATTCTTTCGGAGTGCCAAATCACCCTTGATCTTAGTTTACGATTAAATGCACCAATGAATCTCGAGTATGATAGAGAAAATATTTTAATATGCGGTGAGATCGGTTCAGGAAAATCAACGTTATGTAAAATATTGATGAAAAGATTGCAAAAATCGCCATATTTTGTATATACTCATGTGATTGATTGCATATCGTTGAAAGGTATTATATCACTACAAATAATTTTACTTATTTCGATGATGGTAATGTTATTTTTGAACATAGACTGAATATAGATTTTTATATTTTACATATAGGAAAAAAAGTAGAAATGTTACAAAAGATTGTATGTGCCGTGATGTCTCAATGTATTTATCATCAACCATCAATATTATTTTTAGAAGATATCGATAGTATTACTATGGTATCATCAAATAACGAAGAAAATACTCCTGACTTCGTTAATGCAGCTAGGTATTTTATAATGAAATTTTATTTATACTAGGTATTGAAGCTTAATTATTTACAAAAATTTTGTACTATGCTTTTATGAAAATGTGTTAGGATTACTGATATGATCATCAACACCGTAATGCAATGTCAAGAATCACATTACGTGTCGATCGTAGCTACTTGCGTTGACATGAATAAAATTGGTAAAAAAATGAGACCATCCAAAGGATTGAACTTTTTCAGAACGGTTCTATCAATACCGAACCTTCAAAAGGTAAATCAATTCTCCGTTTCATTGACATTTTAAAACATTAAAATTATTCGTGTGTGAAAATTCGTGTCATCGATCTAGAGTATACGTTCGTTAATTTGTCTCACCTCAGGCGGATAGAATCGATATTTTGCAATTAATGCTTGAGGACAAGTTGTACGTGCCTGGCAACGTGAATTGGGATTACTATGGTAACAAGACGGAGGGATGGATGGTACAAGATCTCGTTGATGTGGCGGATAAGGCGACGTTTGCCGCTTGGAAACGTTGTGGTAATAAATCTCGAACGTTTATGTGGGTTGCATTGAAAAAGATGGTTTAATGAATGACAATGAATTTAATCGTTTCTAATCAGCAAAAGAAGATATCAAACCACCGATCGTTATCACAGAGAACGATATTTCGACCGTGTTGAATAATTATAAACCGTTGTCTCTGCAAGGTGTTCAATTATATAAAGGATCTGATCACACATGGTCAGACATCGGAGGATTAGTTAAAATTAAAGAATCCTTGACAGAAATTTTACATTGGCCATTAAAGTATCCTGAAATATTTAAAAATGCTCCGATCAAGCTTCAAAGTGGAGTTTTGTTGTATGGTATGCCAGGTACAGGGAAGACTTTGTTAGGCAAAGCGATAGCTAGTGAATGTGGTGTGAATTTAATTAGTGTGAAGGTAATATTAATATAAAAAATATTTATTATGCTTATTATATTAATGAATATTATATTTTATCATTCATTTCGATTAGGGTCCTGAATTGTTATCCAAGTACATTGGTGTGAGTGAAGAATCAGTAAGAAATATTTTTGAAAGGTATGTTATATGATGAAAATATAAAATAAAAAAAATTAATCAGTCATTATGTGTAATATAAAAAATTATATATTTTTAGGGCTCATCGTGCAAAACCATGTGTTCTTTTCTTCGATGAATTCGACAGTCTTGCTCCAAGGTAGATTATTTGAAATGTAATGATTCATTCCAAATACTATAATGATATTTAATATTTTCTACAGACGTGGACACGATAGTACAGGTGTAACGGATAGAGTTGTGAATCAATTGTTGACCCAACTCGATGGTATAGAAGATAGAGAAGGAGTTGCTGTAGTAGCTGCAACGTCTAGACCAGATTTATTAGATCCAGCTCTTTTAAGACCCGGTCGTTTAGATAAATCTTTATATTGTCCATTACCAAATGAGGTGCGATATTCTATCATTTCAGTCAATGATATTCCAACATCAATTTTTACATTTATTTTATTAGTTGGAGAGAGAAGAGATACTGCATATTCTCTGTAAATCCCAGAACATAGATATAATGGAATTAGATTTGAAAGAAATTGCATGCACTTCTGTTGGATTAACCGGTGCCGATTTGAATGCGATAATTACCCAAGCTAAATTGGCTGCCTTCGAAGATGCTGTACAAATCATACCGGTAAATAATGCAAATATCTTGGTTATAATATTTGTTAGTTCTTTTTTCTTTTTTTTTGTTTTTTGTTTTTTTTTTTTTTATTGTTTTTTTTTTTTAACGGACTACACGGTACTTTATTTTTGCTTTTCAAACGAATGATATAAGATTTAATTGAAACCTTTGTGTCCTGTCAAAACAGGACACTTCTCTAACGATCCCTCTCGAGCCGTTTCGCCAATAATGAAAAGCATTTTCTGTGTGAATGAAGGGAGATTCACTGAGAATCATTTGTAGGGAACTTCCGAAGTAAGATAGTGCGTAATGACGATAATATCGTTAGGTCTGTATCTTACATAGACGCATATACATATAAGATATAAACGAAGGACACATCTACTATATCGCACCATTACTAACATCAGTGCCGCCATCGTCGTGCTTGCTAGAGAGGTAGTGTGATATAACTGAGGAGAAACGTAGAGAGCAAGGTTTATTAGCACAGGCCGAGAGAGTACGGGACCATCCCTCGATCTCGCTCCACTTCATCTTGGCCTACGCCTCGCTGAACGTCGAGGGGGTTATTATCTTATGCGTTATAATGATACACGACTTAGAACCATGCACCACCCTGTCGTTTCTGCAGGATCGAAAAGCAGTCAAATCGTTCCAGGGCTTATCGGGATCGTTCGTTAACGTTGAACGTGTTTTCCAACAATGAGATTGGCTTCGATTATCGATTATCGTTTGTTTTGACGTGTCCATTGAATAAAATGTCTTGTCGATCGATAGAAATATTTTTTTTTTTTTTTTAACAGATATAACATTTTCGAAGGAAAATATATAGATAGATGACAGTTTTGTAAAGATTGTGTATATAACATGACAAAAGAATCGAAATGAATGAATTGAAATAAAACGAAGAAATTTGCGACATTTTGGAAGACGTTCGCATAGGACACCGTGAAGGTGTTCCACATGATAGGAAATTATTAATTAACTTCCTTCGTCGAAAACAAAGTTACGACGGTACTTACCTACCGGAAGAACACCGGTTATCCAAACTGTTCGTCTAATTAGCAAGTGAGTTTCCTAAACGCGTCGCGATTTGAGAGTAGCCTTGCACACAGATAAGCTTTATAATGCGTATAGGTAGATATACGTTATCGTGTATCTATGTAAGTAATATAGAAATCAACGAAATAGACATATATAATGTATAAGATTAAGACCTACAGTTCTCGAAGTTGTTTTCTTCTTGAAGAAAATTTATTATTGCCTCAATTTCTATGATAATTCTTTTTATACGACAGGAAGAGGAACTTCAACCTAAGGATATCAAAGTAACTCAAACACATCTCGTTGAGTCTGTACAATCAATTCAACCGTCTCTGTCTTCCACGGAAATGGAGAAGTATATAAGGATGTAAGTTATTAATATAGACTATTCAATATTTTCCCAATATTAATAGACATTTTTTACATTTTATTATCATAGTTATATGAGATTCTCAAAGGGTGACACTTTTGTCGAGGATATATTGAAGAATCAAAAGGCAACATTTGCATGAAATAAGGTAAACTCTATAAATTATATTTATATGGTCAAGAACATATATCAATAAAACATGTTCATATTTAGAATGAACTTCACATGTCCAAATAATATCTGACACAATTATCGAATATACATATTTATTAATGAATAATGGATACGCGAAAATATGAGAAATTTTGATGTTTCTTCTTTGAAATTTCATTACGATAGAAATATCCGAATTATTCCGACAAACGGTCGACAGCTTTTAATCGTTTGGTAGGTATCCAGGGCTCATCTTTTCCTCGTTTTAACCGAGTATACATATAAGCATAATCCGGATGGCTGCGTTTCTCGCGAAGGAGTAACGCCTCCTCTTCCTTTTCCTCCTTCCACATCATTTTGCTCGCCCTCTCTGGAAGAGTACGTTAAACGGCAGGTAGTAGTAACGCGAAAGGGGGTTGAGTATAGCGGCTCGGCAACTTTTCGTATTAATAATCAGTATAATAATTAGTATTTTCACGCGCGACTTAGCAGGAAACACGGAAAAGACGAGAGAGAGAGAGAGAGAAAGAGAGAGAGAGAAGCTGGGCAAGTTAGCGGCGCGAGCCTAGTCGCGCGCTTGAACTTTGGGGAATCTTGATTTTAAGTTCGGGCGAAGGAGAGGCGCATATTTCACCGACGCTAATGTCCCGCCAGATAAACTACAATATTAGCTGCCTTCGCCCGTGATTTAATTTAACTTTAGCCCGGCGCGACATCCGCCTCTGGCTTTCGGCTCTTGCCACCTTCTCTTTCTCTCTCTCTCTCTTTCTCTCTCTCTCTCTCTCTCTCTCTCTCTCTCTCTCTCTCTCTGTCTCTCTCTTCTAGATCTAACTCTACTCTTGGCCGAGACGATGAAAACGACTAAGTAAAGCGTAGACGATATCGCTTGGAGCTTTCCACCGACACTCCAATCTCGTCCTTACGAGCCTACAAGCTTTCAGGATTAGAACGTTCGTACGAGACGTGTTGTTTCTTGTACCTAAAAGAATGATAAACCGGATCATAAAAAATTACAGATATCAATCCTGATAAAGTCGATTGAATTATATTTTTATTATTATTATTATTATTTATTACTATTACTATTACTACTACTATTACTATTATTATTCTCTTAATCTCTTATATATGTATGTTTTATTTCAATTTGTAAATATCGTTATAATTATTGAAATAACCAGAGGATTTGGATCGGGAGAAACGTTTGAACGAAATTATTGGATTTCACTTTATCCCTTTATTTTTTCTTCTTTCTTTTTGATCCATTGTCTCCTTTCAAATAGTAGAATCAATTGTTACAAACGAAGTATGACAATGAGAATATAAGAATAAAAAGGAGAATAACGGAAAGAATACATTCGCGTAAATGCGTAATGCACTTCTTCAATATTTCTCCCGAACTACTACAAGAGGGAAAAGCATAGAACGGTTGAAACGCAGTTGGTGTTCGCGTTCGTTCGCGTATTTATCTAGGTCTCCGGTAATCGAGTTATCGTTCTCTTACCGCTGCTTTCTTTTCATTCGATTCAACCAGCGCGAAGAGGAATTGTCGATACTTTTGTGGAGGGTTACGAGCGGGGGTGGTGGATGAGACTACTCTCTCCGAATGCAATTTATCACGGAAACTTTCGGACCTTTACGTCCTCTACCCCTTCGTCCGTTTCTTCATATTTGCGGACGGCTATCGGCCATCCTATGATTTTTCTCCCTTAATGTTTTTATCGACACTTTTCTATTTCTTTTAGATAGGCCAAGGCTTAACTTATCGTTGAAGTTCTATCTTCAAAGTCTGATTGTTCTTTTAGTTAAATATTTTATGTAACAGAGAATTATTTAGATACTACAGGTATTTAGATACTTTTAATCTCTCTCTCTCTCTCTCTCTCTCTCTCTCTCTCTCTCTCTCTCTCTCTCTCTCTCTCTCTCTCTCTCTTTCGCATGAAACACTTTAATCTCGAAAAAATAATATACTTTTGTTATATGACATCGGCCGGTTGTATAATAGATATAATACGTAAACGTTACCGTCCGATAAAAGTTAATAATAAAAAATCGGATTAGGATTAATACATTATTTCGTTCGAGTTGAGTGAAGATAATAGAAATAATATTCTATATATTTTTCCAAGGTATTCGTAATAATGATTTTTAAATTATATCTACAACTAAACGGAGAACTCATCGTCTGTTCGAGAAAAATAGAGAATGCATCTGAATCGATTTCGGAAGACATTTTAAATGCCACGTTCGCGAGAATTTCTAATTTTTCACACGGACGGGGCGGTAAATTCGCGAGCGAATTTTCGCACGGTGCTCGCCAACAGGATCGCAGCGAAACGACGTGGACAGATCGATGAATCGGTAGCGTCGAAGTTTTGCGCGTTCGTTCGATGAGTGGGGGATATGAAGGGAGGAGAGAAAGGAAAGCCGTGCTGCGAGACGTTCAATGTGACGTTTCAATCTGCCATTCTATCATTGACAATTTTGCGCAAACGGGATCGCGGTGCAAGCTCGACGAGGCGTGCTTTCGGCTCACATTGGCGTTAAATAAGAGTAACTCAGCCGCACCGGGACGCTTCGACATAATTGCCTGTGAAATCACTAGATGGATTTTCGAGCTTCCTTGTTTCTCTTCCAATCCACCTCTCTCTCTCTCTTTCTCTCTTCCTTTTTACCCTCTCATGTTATAAGTCCTGCCTTGTTTCTTCTCTCCTTTTTCTTTCTTTACCGAACGACGCTACGATGCGAGACTCGATCCAATAAACTAACGTAATTCTATTGCCGGCGTCGTCATCATTCGAGTTATCTGTCTGTGAAAATTCAACGAAAGTTGTACGGTCAACGAGCCGACGAATACGATGGATAATGAAATAATGAATATATCTACATCAATGCCGATCGATTATCTTTTCTTTTTAAGATATCTTATAAGAGAAAAGGAAAGACAGAGAGAGAGAGAGAGAGAGAGACTTTTACAAGTTAAAGAAAATTATTATCCGAAACAGGTATTTACTTAACATGGGAAATTTATATTTAATTTAATTCTTTATTTTCTATGCTAAATAAACGAAAAGATAAGCGAAATAGAAAGCCGATAGGGACGATCGTTTTGTGGACAAAGCGATATCACGCAAGGGAAGGACTCTTTCTCTCTCAATCTTTTTCTCTCTCTCTCTCTCTCTCTCTCTCTTTCTCTCTTTCTCTCTATATGTCTATTTCATTTTCTTACCTCGAAAACGTGCATTTCCAAATGCAAACCTTGAGATAAAGAGAAACTAAAACGCGGCCGTAACAGCCGAGCGACTACTTAGCATAAAAATGGCCAATTATCCGGCTAACAAGCCGGCCAGGCGTCGGAAAAGGCAGGCGCCTTGGCTAACTCTGTTAGAGGCAAGCTCCTGAAGGAGATTAGTTAGCGTAAATGCCGCCGGTTGACGCATTTTTATTCCTGATTACCGTTTCTCGTGGAGCTAATCTCATTACGCGACATTCGAAAACTTGACTCTCATTCGGTTGCACGGCAAAATGCCGACTTTTTGCTCGGCTTCAACGAGACGCGTCGACAAAACGCGCGGACGATAGAAAAGGGAGAGAGAGAGAGAAAGAGAGAAATAGAGAGAGACAGAGGCAGAAACAGAAAGAGAAAGAGAAAAAGAGAGAGAGTGAGAGAGAGAGAGAGAGAGCGAGTATGAGGATGAGAGAAGAGAAGAAGAAGAAGGAAGAAGAGAGGAAAAGAGGCAATTGGCCCGTGCATTCGAAGGAATCGCGACAATGCGCCCATGATTTTCACCCAACTGAATGCCGTCCTAATTCTTCGGAGAATAATCGAGCATCCTGAAGTTTGTTTGCTCTCTCCTATTTACGGGCTTCCCGTTACTCTCTCGCGTTTGCCGTGGCTTCGTCAGACTTTTCTTCGAGGAAGAAGAAGAAGAAGAAGAAGAAGATGGAGAAGAAGAAGAAGAAGAAGAAGAAAAAGAAAAAGAAGAAAAACTTAGAGAATCATACCGGAAGGCAATGTTGTTTATTACAAATAAACGTTTTTATGCGTCTTTCAACCAATTATATTGATATTATTCATTTCAATTATTCATTTAGAGCTATTAGAAGTAAAGAAAAAACAAAAAAAGAAGCATAAACCATTTTAAATACTTATTTGTAGATACATAATGTTTGATTATCGTATCAGATGTAAAATAAAAAGTTACGTCGATTGGTCGATCGAATGGACGTTGATCTCGTTTTGATAGTTATCCCTTTTGAGAAAATAAGGGAGAGAGGGAAAGGAGAGGGAGAGGACTTGGTGATGGTCCCTCTTGCAATATTTACGGGGCGTCGAAGCGTGGGTAACGCTGTTTGCCGCAATTTCTTGTTTCCATTAGGTTGGCCGGCCTGCGGGGTAAATTCTACCCTAGCGAGTCGTCGTCGTCGTCGTCGTCGTCGTCGTTGTCGTTGTCGTTGTCGTTGTCGTTGTCGTTGTCGTTGTCGTTGTCGTCATCGTTGTCGTTGTCGTTGTCGTTGTCGTTGTCGTTGCGGGCTAGGGTTGCGCAACTTGGCCACCCCTTCGAAGCGCTCTCGTGAGCACTTGCTAGATCGTTTGCGAGCTCGAGCCGCGGGTCAGAGGGGACACGCTGGGAAATGGTGCACACACAAACTTACCTTCTCTCTCTCTCTCTCTCTCTCTTTCCCTTTCTCTATCTCTCTCTCTCTCTCTCTCTTACTCTCGACAGTGTGCTCGATCAAATGACGCGCGTCAGCGCCCACAATAACGGCCTCTTCACGCTTCGCTCCTATCCTATCTCGGTTTAGGCACCATTCTCTGTCGTCTACCGATCTCTCCTCAGAGAAAGAGAGAGAGAGAGAGAGAGAGAAAGAGAGAGAGAGAGAGAGAGAGAAAGATAGATGGGATGATCGGACATTGACGGTCACTTTTGGCGTTACGAGAAAATAATCTTCATTTTTGCGATTTTCCTCATTTGAATCTTTCGTTTAATACTC